ATGGTAGGAAATTGTTTCTCCATCATTATTAGCCTCCTTCCCCCTTCTAGGGTTTTACCAAAATTTGATCAACGTGCCCCAGGAAATAATATCTCTAATTTCCAATTGGTTCTGGTCATTCTAGCCATCCTTGTTGGCCAAGCCTTCAATAGTTCTCTGAGACCTCCAGCTGGCACTCAGGGGCTCTCCTGCCTCAAATGAAGCAGAGGAACCTTAGGCGAAGCCAGGAGCCCCAGGTCTGAAGTGTAGCAGGAGGTCGTCCCTTTGAGGACAGAGAGCAACGCACAGCTCCTCTGGCAAACCAGGGCCATAGCCAGGGCTCCCTTGCCCAGGTTTGGGGCAGGGGCATTCTCTTTAAGCTGGAGAATCCTACCTCCTTCTCTTCGATAAGCTTATTTCCTTAAACTTCATCCTATCTTAGGCTTCTGACTTTGGGAAACAGAAAATACAAAGAGTTCCAGATGACTCTGTATTCCTCCCTGCCTTGCACCTTCCCCAAGGCACTGACACACACAACTTGCTACAAATGCATAGTTAAAATGAAAAGTGGAAAATGAAAGATTTTTTGTTTGTTTGTTTGAGACGGAGTCTCACTCTTACCCAGGCTGGAGTGCAACGGCATGGTCTCAGCTCACTGCAACCTCCGCCTCCCAGGCTCAAGCAATTCTCCCACCTCAGCCTCCCAAGTAGCTGGGACTACAGGCATGTGCCACCACACCTGGCTAATTTTTGTATTTTCAGTAGAGTCGGGTTTTCACTATGTTGGCCAGGCTGATCTTGAACTCCTGACCTCGTGATCCGCCCACCTCAGCCTCCCGAAGTGCTGGGATTACAGGCATGAGCCACCACACCCAGCCTGGAAGATGAAAGATGTTTTAAACCCATAAATATCTCAAAATATTATCCAGCCATATGGTATGGGACCAGGTGCATAAAGTTAAGGCAATGCTGAGACCTCCAGGTTATTCCACTGGCTACAACAGCAGAAGGGCAGGGCAGGGCAGGGCAGGGCAGGGCAGGGCAGGGAAGGGGGAAGGGAAGGGGGAAGGGAAGGCGGAAGGGAAGGGGGAAGGGAAGGGGGAAGGGAAGGGAAGGCAAGGGGGAAGGGAAGGCAAGGGAAGGCAAGGGGGAAGGGAAGGGAAGGGGGAAGGGAAGGGAAGGAAAGGGGGAAGGGAAGGGAAGGGGGAAGGGAAGGGAAGGGAAGGGAAGGGGGAAGGGAAGAGAAGGGGAAGGGAAGGAAGGGAAGGGGAAGGGGAAGGGAAGGGAAGGGAAGGGAAGGGAAGGGGAAGGGAAGGGAGGGGAAGGGAAGGGAAGGGAAGGGAAGGGAAGGGAAGGGGAAGGGAAGGGAAGGGGAAGGGAAGGGAAGGGAAGGGAAGGGGGAAGGGAAGGGGGAAGGGGAAGGGAAGGGGGAAGGGGGAAGGGGAAGGGAAGGGAAGGGAAGGGGGAAGGGGGAAGGGGAAGGGAAGGGGGAAGGGAAGGGGGAAGGGAAGGGGAGGGAAGGGGAAGGGGGAAGGGGAAGGGAAGGGGGAAGGGAAGGGGAAGGGGGGAAGGGGGAAAGGGGAAGGGAAGGGGGAAAGGGGAAGGGAAGGGGAAGGGGGAAGGGAAGGGAAGGGGGAAGGGAAGGGAAGGCAAGGGGGAAGGGAAGGGAAGGGAACAGGGAAGGGAAGGGAAGGGGAAAGGGAAGGGAAGGGAAGGGAAGGGAAGGGGGAAGGGAAGGGAAGGGGGAAGGGAAGGGAAGGGGGAAGGGAAGGGAAGGGAAGGGGGAAGGGAAGGGAAGGGGGAAGGGAAGGGGGGAGGGGAAGGGGGAAGGGAAGGGGGAAGGGGAGGGGAGGGGGGAAGGGGAGGGGAAGGGGGAAGGGAAAGGGAAGGGGGAAGGGAAAGGGGGAAGGGAAAGGGGGAAGGGAAAGGGGGAAGGGAAAGGGGGAAGGGAAAGGGGGAAGGGAAGGAGAAAGGAAAGGAAAGGAGGGAGGGAAGGAAGGAAAGAAAGAAGGAAGAAAGAAACAAACAAACTGGGGGTATCCTTCTCTAAACTCTAATATAGAAAGGAAATATATCTAGTAACATGTTTCTTTGTCTAATTATCCTCCTACAATCAGCATCTTAAAATAAACTAATCTCTTATAAAAAATTTTTGGATGTTAATATGACCATCAGCTCAAAAAGCATTAAAGCCACTTCAATCAAGGGACATAGACTAGGTTTCAAGACACTTAGCTCACATAAATTTCTATAAATTTTAATAGAACTTAATGGTCTTTCCATTTTGTGTGTGTGTGGGAAGGGTGAGCATTATTGATTTTACATTTTAATAGATTTTAGGGGCATGATGAACCTGAACAGTAAAAGCATGCTTCCCTTGCCCCACCTAATGCAGAGGAGCTTCCTGAAAGAAATTAGTTTGGAATGAAAGGAGAGCAATTGCCTTGCAGGTAAGGATGGGCAGAGTGGGAGGATCTTTAGTACTTTAGATGTAGGTTTCAAGAAAAATAGCAACATGAAAGTCATGTGTGAGAAGATGTACTTATGAGGCAGATTGAGTTATAAATTATTATCCAAAGATAACAAAGGCATGAAACCAATCTTTAGAAATGATTCTTCCCAAGTAATAGGAGATAGGAATGTCATGGAAATACTTAAACTGGAAGAAAAGCCATGGCCTTTCTGAAGTAACCTACAATTTCTTTTTTTTTTCTTTTCTTTTCTTTTCTTTTTTTTTTTTGAGATGTTGTCTTACTCTGTTGTCCAGGCTGGAGTGCAGTGGTGTTATGTTGGCTCACTGCAACCTCCACCTCCCAGGTTGAAGTGATTCTCCTGCCTCAGCCTCCTGAGTAGCTGGGATTACAGACGCCCACCACCTCATCTGGCTAATTTTTGTATTTTTAGTTGAGACGGGGGTTTCACCATGTTGGTCAGGCTGGTCTCGAACTCCTGACCTCTGGTGATCTGCCCGCCTCAGCCTCCCAAAGTGCTGGGATTACAAGCGTGAGTCACCATGCCCAGCTGTAACCTACAATTTCTATTTCTTGTTCCTATCCACTCCCTTTTGCATCCTGTGTCACCAATAATGTTCTCAAAGGAAAATAAAAAAAAGAAAACACAAATAAGAATTATATTTTATAGTGATTATAATGATCAGAATTCCTCAGACTTCTTTCTGCTATCATTTGCTGTGACCTTTGGACAGCTCATATTTCAGCCCTAACCAGATCTCTGCTGTAATCTGAATGTATATTTCCTATGATGCTACAGATAGAGAAATGCTTCAAAATTAAGTAGAGATCAGTTAAAACACCATTACTGTTTACTCTGTGTCTTTTGAATTCTATTATATTTATAGTTGTTTACATTTTGAAAACCAAGCCATTTAAAACAGGAGTTTAGGCCAGGAGTTTAGGACCAGCCTGGGCAATACAGTGAGACCCCCGTCTCTACAAAAATAAAAAATAAAAATTAGCCAGGCATGGTAGTCCACACCTGTAGTTCCAGCTACTTGGGTGGCTGAGACAGGAAGATCTCTGCAGCCTAGGAGTTCAAGGCTGCAGTGAACCATGATCCTGCCACGGCACTCCAGTGTGGGCAACCGAGTGACACTTAAAAAAAAAAAAAGACTGCAGATCAACAGGTTATGATTGCAAATTTTAAGATATTTTGAATAACATAAAAGAACACACTATTTTCTTATGCAGTTCGGAGTATGTTTAATAGTCTATTGAATGAGTATCTCAAAATCCTATTGAAGTTACTATCTGGCAATGAGAAACTAATTCACTGATAGTTATACATGCAAAGAAACTAATTATTAAAATAAGTTTTCATTTTGTTAGATGACTTTATAACGTTAAAAAATGGAAAAGTCCTGTAGGGAATGATTTGGAACATGGCCCAGACTCCAGCCCCAGGACCAAGGCACTCAATCCCCCAGCTGCTGGGAGTGTTGGTTGCTTATGGCTCACAGCTGAGTCCCTTTCTGCACATCTCCCTCTCCAAAAGCCTTACCCAGCGTTTTGCTTCCTCCCCAGAAACATCCCACATTTAATGAGCAGTCAGTAAGAGGGTCTAAAGGTCTGCCCTGTGGCCTCAATTCAGGATGACTCTGAAAGGAAATCCCGGCTCCAGAGCCCCTACTGGATTGCCTGAGGCCTCTATTACAAATTGTTCACAGTTCAACTTCTTTCTCCCTCCGGCAAACCCGGCCTCCCTCACTCCATTATAGGTGTTGTTCTTAAGAGCACACTCCAGTAACCCTCCTGCAAACCAGTCTCCCCCCAACTCAGAGTCCAGGGGTTTTGAAAGCGGTCCTAGAAATCAGGCTCTAACGTGGGATTTTGAAGCTAGATCACCTGCCAGCCAGTTGCCAGTAAGCACCTCATCCCTGGTGAGTATTCAGAGCACTTGTCAAGCTGCACGATGTGAATACTAATTTGAATCCACTCATGCTAAGCTGTGTCCCAACCTAGTTAACTGTATTTAAAATAAATAAATAAACCACAGGACTTGATGCATGTACTTTATTGCACTGAGTTTTTCTTGCTATAGCTTGGACAAGACTGCCGCCTCCTGGAAGAGCTGATGAATACTGGGGACTGAGGTGCAATTGGGTAATGGGTACTATGAAATTGCCTGCGTCTCAGCAGCAACTCTCTCTCTCTCCGTGAAGTTAAACCAACTCCTAACCTTTCTCAACCTCTGTGAGCAGCTTTTTGCACGGAACCAAGACTTCAAAGAACTTGCGCATCACAATCTTTTTACGTGAAAATTTAAATACAAGTTAACATTTGTGAAGCGTTATGTGCCAAATGCTTTAATTCTTAAGGTTCACAACAGTCTTATGAGGTAGGAACTATCAAGCAGATCCACACTGCGAATGGGGAAATTAAGTTTCAGGGAACTTAAAGCGACGGCTCTGAGGCGGAATCGACACTTGGAGTCGGAACTCAACTGCTGAGAGCGCAAGCTCCGTAACTACGTAACCGCCTTGGGCATGCGCAGAAAAACACTGACGTACTTTCCCTAGGAGCGGCAAGCAGGTGGGTGTGGCGGGGCCTCTGCAATCCCAGCATTCCTTTCGTGCCGCCATCAATATGGCGGCGCCCATCTTTCGGTCCTTTTCCTGGGGCCGTTGGTCTGGTACCCTAAATCTCTCAGTATTCTTGCCCTTGGGGCTGCGTAAGGCCCACTCGGGCCCTCAGGGGTTACTGGCAGCGCAGAAGGCTCGAGGTCTGTTCAAGAACTTCTTCCCGGAGACGGGGACGAAAATAGAACTCCCAGAGCTCTTCGACCGTGGCACGGCGAGTTTTCCCCAAACCATTTACTGTGGCTTCGACCCCACGGCAGACTCACTTCATGTGGGCCATCTTCTTGCGCTGCTGGGCCTGTTTCATTTGCAGCGAGCGGGCCACAACGTGATCGCGCTGGTGGGAGGCGCCACGGCGCGCCTGGGAGACCCGAGCGGCCGTACCAAGGAACGCGAGGCGCTGGAGACAGAGCGCGTGCGAGCCAACGCGCGCGCCCTGCGCCTAGGGCTTGAGGCTCTGGCGGCTAATCACCAGCAGCTTTTCACTGATGGGCGCTCCTGGGGCAGCTTCACTGTGCTGGACAACTCGGCCTGGTACCAGAAGCAGCACCTGGTGGACTTTCTGGCGGCAGTTGGGGGTCACTTCCGCATGGGGACGCTGCTGAGCCGGCAGAGCGTGCAGCTGCGGCTCAAGAGCGCGGAGGGCATGAGCTTGGCCGAATTCTTTTACCAGGTGCTCCAGGCCTATGACTTCTATTACCTCTTCCAGCGTTATGGATGCAGGGTCCAGCTGGGCGGATCTGATCAACTAGGCAACATTATGTCCGGATATGAGTTCATCAACAAGTAAGTGCCTTTAGACCCTGGGGAAATCCTGGGACCAAATAATCTACACACTAGTAGCCTGTGATTTACTCTTAGGATTGTAGGTTGCTGCCCTTCGTTCCAGCTCTTGTTGGTTTTATCCCCATTAAGGCTCTATAATGGCGTTAATAACACTGGCTAATAAGAACTAAAGGGCTGAATTAAGGGTATTAAGAGTAAACGGTGTATTCTAAAAATTAGCTGGGCGTGGTGATGCACGCCTGTAATCCCAGCTCTTCGGGAGGCTGAGGCAGGAGAATGGCTTGAACTCGGGAGGCGAAGGTTAGCAGTGAGCCGAGATAGCGCCACTGCACTCCAGCCTGGGCAACAGAGGGAGACTCCATCTAAAAAAAAAAAAGGAAACCGTGTATTCTAGAGCTCTGCAGGAAACAGACCACTAGTGAAGATTTGGTCGGTCTGTTTTGGTTCCCCTAAGTCGTCCTTTCTAATTAGAGAAACTGCTTTCGTGTGTTTATACTAGAACATGACTGGACCTCCTTGAGTAGCTAGCCTCTGCTTTAGCTCTGCACCCTCCATGGAACTAGTGTTAGTCCTTGGTTGTTATCTCAAAAAGTTTTTTCAACTCCAAATAACTGACAAGTAATGCGGGTCTAATAGCATTTTCTTGAGAGAGGTGAAGGATAGGGCTAGCTCATGTGCTACAGAGCAAAACACATGTTTAAAAGGCATTTAGAACATTTCCTTTAGTGTCTCTTCCTGACACCCCTTCACCCAGTTTTCTCCTTCCCACTCAGCCTTTCAAAATCTCTAGTCCATTGTTAAGTAGCACTTCCCCTTGGCCTGCCTAGAAACTGCCTGGAACCACTCATGAGATTCAGAATGAATAGGGTGAGTACTGTAACAGTACATAAGAGGGACAAGAATTCAGATTTAGGAGGTCAAGGAAGTTTTCCTGGAGCAAGTAACCAGAAAGAAATCTGGAAGGTGAACAGTAGAACCTACCACGACTTTGCTTGAGGCACATAATGAAATTGTTCTTTATGCATAGGTTGACTGGAGAAGATGTATTTGGAATCACCGTTCCTCTAATTACAAGTACAACTGGAGCAAAGCTGGGAAAGTCTGCTGGCAACGCTGTTTGGCTAAACAGAGATAAGACATCTCCATTTGAATTGTATCAATTCTTTGTCAGGCAACCAGACGATTCAGTGGAAAGGTGAGTTCTGAATAATGGCTCAGAAAAATTGACACCATAAACTCATGATATAATTTTAGCCATTGAATCTATGTACACTTTATAGTTTTTTTGTTTTTAACTTAGTTTCTGTCTGCACATAAACCATTACATCATAGAAGACTAATTTTTACTGTGTTCTAAAGTTAAACACTTTGTTGGTTAAAGCAGAAAAACCACAGTGGATGGCTAGAAAATGTAGAGCCAACTTTTTGATCTATATCTAGCAAGTTCTTAGGATTTTATCACCTGCATATTCTAGTTTTTTCACTCCTTTCATCTTGACTACCCTTATTTTTCCTTTGTCTTTCTTCTCTCACAAATATGACTTTAAAGATTCTCTTAAGAAATGATTTTCTCCTTAAATTAAATTGCCTTAAACTCTTGGGAGAATATGAATTAATGAGAAACAAACATACCTACAACAAAAAGTGAAAAAAATATTTTGATACTCTGTAACATCAAAGTAATCTAGGAATAATTCTTTAAGACTTAATAATAAATGACTTTCCTGCAAAATATTAAAAGATGCTATTGAGCAAAATAAAGACCTACATAAATGAAGAGTTAGACCATATTGATAGTACAAAAATATATCAGTTCTTTTTTGTTTTTTTTTGAAACAGAATCTCACTCCCATTGCCCAGGCTGGAGTGTAGTGGCACAGTCTTGGCTCACTGTAGCCTGGAATTCCCAGGCTCAGGTGCACACCACTATGCCCAGCTAATTTTGTATTTTTTTTTTTAGTAGAGGTGGGGTTTCACCATGTTGCCCAGGCTGGTCTCAAACTCCTAGACTCAAGCGATCAACCTGCCTCGGACTCCCAAAGTGCTGGGCTTACAGGCATGAGCCCCCACACCCGGCCAAGATACCAGTTCTGGATTTGATCCACATTTAGTACAGCACCAACCATATCTAAACCGGCTTTTTGTGGAACTTGACAAGCTCATTGTAAGATTGACATAGAAATAAAAAGGGCTAAGATTGGCCAAGATGTTTTTGAAGAACAGCGTGGAAGATTATCATGCCTTATTATAAAATTGCAGTAATTATGGTTTTTTCGTCTTTAGATTTAGTCCTAGAATGTTTGACGATATAGTCCTGGGGTTTTGATGTATTGAGAATTGATAATCTTTTTTTTTTTTTTTCTTGAGACAGTGTCTCGTTTTGTTGCCCAGGCTGGAGTGTCCTCCGCTTCCTGGGTTCAAGCGATTCTCCTGAGTAGCTGGGACTATAGGCATGTGCCACCATGCCCGGCTAATTTTTGTATTTTTGTAGAGGCAGGGTTTCGCCATGTTGGCCAGGCTGTCTTGAACTCCTGACCTCAAGTGATCCACCCTCCTCAGCCTCACAAAGTGCTGGGATTACAGGCTTGAGCTACCGCACCCAGCCTAGATAATTGATAATCTTTTTGAAAATTGCATTTTCTATCTGGTTCTGGTGTTTAGAAATACAATTACTTTATATATATTACCTTTAAATCTAGCAACTTTGCCAAACTCATTATTTCTAATAATGAACTTTAGGTTTAAAGGTACACGTTTAAAGACCAATGGCACAGATTAGAGAATCCAGACACACTCTAGCATATATGGTCTCCTTATCTCTGGCAAAGGTGGCATTGTAGTTTGGGAAGACAGTCTTCAGTGAATATTGCTCTATTAGTTAGATGTCTTTGTGGGTGAAAAAAATGAAACTTAACCTTACATAGTACACGAAAGTCGATTCAAAGACAAAACAATAAAACTTTTAGATAAATAGGAAAATGCCTTTATGACTTTAAGATAGAGAAAGATTCTTAAACAGGACACAAAAGGAAGAGATAGGTAAGTTAGACTAAATTAAAAATAAGATCTGGGGCCGGGTGCGGTGGCTCAAGCCTGTAATCCCAGCACTTTGGGAGGCCGAGACGGGCGGATCACGAGGTCAGGAGTTCGAGACCATCCTGGCTAACACGGTGAAACCCTGTCTCTACTAAAAAATACAAAAAACTAGCCGGGCGAGGTGGTGGGTGCCTGTAGTCCCGGCTACTCGGGAGGCTGAGGCAGGAGAATGGCGTAAAAACCCGGGAGGCGGAGCTTGCAGTGAGCTGAGATCCGGCCACTGCACTCCACCCTGGGCGACATAGCGAGACTCCGTCTCAAAAAAAAAAAAAAAAAAAATAAGATCTGTTCATCATGAGTCACTGTTAAGAGTGGGAAAAGATTGCTATTTTCAGTACATGTATCTAAATGATAAAGGGCTTGTATTCAAATTAATATAAAGAATTTCTTATTTCACATTGCATGTCTGTATCAAAACATCTCATACACCCCGTAAGTATATACACCTATATACCCACAAAAAATTGTTTAAATAATTTCAAAAATTAAAAATGAAAAAACTATGTAAATACTATATTAAACATAGTTATTTTAATGTTAAAAACAGAAATTTCTCTAAGCCAGTGAGAAAAAGACAACCCAGCAGAACAAGGGAAACAGACTTGAACAGGTACTTCACAAAGATCCTATCCAAAGGCCAAAAACATATAAAAAGGTGCTTAGCCTTCATACCGAGAAGAAAAAATACAAGATAAAGGGCACAACGAGATACCATTATGCACCCTCCAGAATGGCTAAACAAAAGAGCTGGCAGAACGAAGTGCTGACAAGACTGTTCCAAGGTGGTGGAAGAATAAACGTATAGAACCACTTTGGGAAAACATTTGGCAGTACCTACTAAAGCTAAATGTGCACATAACCTGTGATCCAGCAGTTCCTTTTCTGGGCATATACCCAACAGAAATTAATGCACATATGCACCAACAGTGGTATATGAGGCTATTCAGAGCAGCATTAATAGCAATTGTCTAAAAATAGAAACAGCACAAAAGTTCACAGAAAAACACGTTGTAGGATAATCATAGCATGGAATGCTGTACATGCAGAATCATGGATGACTCGCCTAAACATATCAACGTGCCAGAAAATAAATTCTGTATGATTCCTTTTATATAAAATCCTACAGACAGGCAAAATTAAGTGATGCTCTTAAGGGAGGCATCCTGAGATGTTAAAAGTATCAGGAAAGACAAGGAAGTGATTACTATCAAAGGCAAAATAGTGATTAACTTGGAGGGGTGTGTGATATATTTGCGCATTCTTGGGTAAGGGCAATACTGTATTTCTTTTCTTTTCTTTTCTTTTTTTGAGATGGAGTCTCACCTCTGTCACCAGGCTGGAGTGCAGTGGCGCAATATCGGCTCACTGCAACCTCCACCTGCCGGGTTCAAGTGATTCTCCTGCCTCAGCCTTCTGAGTAGCTGGGACTTTTTTTGTATTTTTTAATAGAGATGGGGTTCACCATGTTGTCCAGGCTGGTCTCAATCTCCTGACCTCGTGATCCACCCACCTCGGCCTCCCAAAGTGCTGGGATTACAGGCATGAGCCACCGCGCCCAGCCCAATATTGTATTTCTTGACCATGGTAATGGTTACGTAGATGTTTTATGATTCATTAAGCTGTATCTTTGCGAATAATGTACTTTTTTCTGTGTGTTAGGTATTTCACCAAAGAAAAAGTTTAAAAAGAGAATACATATAGGATGATATTAATAGTCATATATCACTTAACAACAGGGATATGTTCTGGGAAATGTGTTGTTAGGTGATTTCATCATTGCAAATATCATAGAGTGTCCCCATGCAAACACAGATAGCGTAGCCTACTACACACCTAGGCTATACAGTGTACCCTTCCTAGGGCAGAAACATGTACAGCACATGACTGTACTAACTATTGAAGGCAATGGTAACACGAGGGTATTTGTATACGTAAATGTAGAAAAGGTACTGTAAACTATGGTATTATAATGTTATGGACCACTGGTAGACCGTACCAGTCCGTGGCCTATTGGTAACAGGGCCGCACAACAGGAGCTGAGGGGCAGGCGAGCGAGCATTACCACCTGGGTTCCATCTCCTGTCAGATCCCCTGTGGCATTAGATTCCTATAGGAGCACAAACCCTGTTGTGAACTGCGCATGCAAGAGACTAGGTTGCACACTCCTTATGAGGATCTAACAAATGCCTGATGATCTGAAGTGAAACAGTTTCATTCTGAAACCACCTTCCCTCCCTGCCGCCCCCTGGTGCCAAAATGGTTGGGGATGGCGGATAGATGCAGTCCGTCATTGACAGGAGCATCATTATGCAGAGCAAACTGATTTATATCAGTTTTTAAAATTACACAGTAGTTTTTTTTATGGCCACATGCACATAAAAGTATAAAAACACGCTTGGGAAGGATGGCAGCACATAAACTTAGATTTATGGTTATCTCTGGGGGCAAGGCAGGGAACGTGATTGGACTGGGGCCTTCATCTATGCCTATTTTGTTCCTTTTAAAAAGGATACATGAGGCTGGGTGTGGTGGCTCACACCCATAATCCCAACACTTTGGGAGGCTGAGACAAGAGGATCACTTGAGCCCAGGAGTTTGAGACCAGACTGGGCAACACGGGAGACCCTGTCTTTAAAAAAAAAAATTAACAAATTAGCCAGGTGTGGTGGCAAAGCCTGTGGTCCCGGCTACTTGGGAGGCTGAGGTGGTAGAATTGGTTGAGCCCAGGAGGTTGAGGTTACAGTGAGCCATGATCATGCCACTGCACTCCAGTCTGGGCAACAGCAAGACCCCCCATCTCAAAAAAAAAAAAAAAAAAAGAAATTGAAAACAAAGATGCCAAAATAGTAACACCTTAAATCTGGGTGATATGTGCATGGGATTTACTATGTTCAGTATGTTTCTGTATGTTTGTTTCATATTTAAAAATAAGCAGGAAAACTTTAAAGGGTAAAGGAGCTAGACATATAAATTAGGTATGTGATATAAGTGTAACTCTTTATTTTTTGTCCCAAAGGTACCTGAAGCTGTTCACTTTCCTGCCCCTTCCAGAGATTGATCATATCATGCAGCTGCATGTCAAAGAGCCAGAAAGGCGGGGTGCTCAGAAACGACTGGCAGCAGAAGTAACAAAGCTTGTTCATGGACGAGAAGGATTGGATTCTGCTAAAAGGTAGTCGTTTAGTAGAATTAACACCTGATAGTTATTTAGTGGATGGACATGAGAAAAGTAGGAGGTATGCTGTTTTAGGGTTATCTTGTCGTTTATTACAAGGACTGTCAGTCAGTATTTGACTTAGCAATTTAAAATAGCCCGTTTATTGGAAAGAAGGATTATCTTGAATTAAGTTCATGAATTTTACCAGATAGATGTTTAAAAAACTTTTAGTCTAGGCCGGGCGCAGTGGCTCACGCCTGTAATCCCAGCACATCGGGAGGCCAAGGTGAGCGGATCACGAGGTCAGGAGTTCGAGACCAGCCTGACCAACATGGTGAAACCCCATCTCTACTAAAAATACAAAAATTTGCTGGGCGTGGTGGCACACGCCTGTAATCCCAGCTACTCAGGAGGCTGAGGCAGGAGAATCGCTTGAACCCAGGAGGCGGAGGTTGCAGTGAGCCGAGATCACACCATTGCAATCCAGCCAGAGCAACAGAGCAAGACTCCATCTCAAAAAAAAAAAACTTTTAGTCTAGAACTTGGACACTCTATAATTGGTTAATGGGTATTAGAACATGTATTTGAATAAACATTTATATAATGTGGCTCTTAAAATGTGTTTTTCAGGTGTACACAAGCCCTTTATCACAGTAGCATAGATGCACTGGAGGTCATGTCTGATCAGGAGTTAAAAGAGTTGTTTAAAGAAGCTCCGTTTTCTGAACTTTTTCTCGATCCTGGAACAAGTGTCCTAGATACCTGCCGCAAAGCAAATGCCATTCCTGATGGTCCCCGAGGGTAAGATTATTTAACTTTTAGATTTACAGTTAATTCACCAGTAAATGTTACAGTTCACAAGGCCAGGAGCAGTGGCTCATGCCTGTAATCCCAGCACTTTGGGAGGCCGAAGCAGGCGGATCACAAGGTCAGGAGATGGATACCATCCTGGCTAACACGGTGAAACCCCGTCTCTACTAAAAATACAAAAAATTAGCCGGGCGTGGTGGCTGGCGCCTGTAGTCCCAGCTACTTGGGAGGCTGAGGCAGGAGAATGGTGTCAACTTGGGAGGCGGAGCTTGCAGTGAGCAGAGATCCCACCACTGCACTCCAGCCTGGGCGACAGAGCGAGACTCCGTCTCAAACAATAAATAAATAAAATGTTACAGTTCACAGCATGTGTTTCCAGAGAGGGTGTTTTCCTGACAATGCTTTAGTGGCATCTCTTCCTTAGAAAAGTTAGTTTAGTCCAAGAATAAAGTATAGCCTGAGAGTACTTATTTTTGAAAATACCTTACATTTTCTATAATAGTACAATACTCATATACTGTCTCTTACTACATCTAACCCAGTCTTTCCTTCAACACTGGAAAAGTGCATTTGAGGGACATGTTGTTCAGTAAATATAGTGGCATCAGTGTACGGCTTAGGGATATGGTCACAATTTTAGAGGGACGTAGAAACAGAGGCCCTGTGTAACAGATTCACCCAGCCCCTCTCATAGTCTGTATCCTCTTTATATTCAGGGATGGGAAAGGTTACCTATCGATAGTATTATCTGAATTTCTGAAAATGAAATGAGCATATAATGGCCAAAACCGCAAGTACTTTTGCACTGACCTACTAACGTCATAAGACTATTATTGTAAATTATATAATAATCCCCTTGAGAATTGCATTTTCTATTCAGGAATTGAGTAGAATATTTTAATTCCTCAGTTATGAGGTATTAAGGAATAAGGTGTTTCACAAAAAATAATTCAGCATATAATTGATACTTGTCCATTTTTAAATGAGCAGTGAAATGGAAGGAGAAGTGTTGGGTAGCCGGAAGTCCCCCGGGTGCCTCTTTTACAGGAATTCACACATAAGTCAAATGCTTATCAGCCATATCATGGCCGTGATTATGAATGACATTTGTTATAGCTGCTGTTCTTTCAATTGTCTTGGATTGTTTGCCTCTGTCCTAAAGAGTCCTAGATTATTCTGCCTGGAGAAAGCACCCACTGTCTCCCTATGCATCACCTACCACTCCACCTTAGTGATTCCCTCATCTGCTGGTTTAATACACAGTGAATTTGAGGCTGGTGTCATATACTTCCCTAGAGTACGTCACTGAGACAAATAATTTTCCTCACTATGGAAGCAGATTTTGTTTTCTTCTCAGCGTTACTATGGTGTGTTCACTAATACTGGAAGCTTTACCACTACTGAAGATGACACCACATCTGATTTAGCCAGGGCTCTAAATAAATAAAACATAGAACATCATCTGGAAACCAGCAGACAACGTAAAATAATACTTTCTAAAAAAAAGGAATCTGCCTTAAGTAGAAAATCTTTTACTGATGAGTTTTATAAAACCATGTCCATGGCCAGCTATGGTGGCTCACACTTGTAATCCCAGCACTTTGGAAGGCCAGGGGCGGGAGGATTGTGTGGGGCCAGGAATTTGAGATCCGTGTGGTCAAGAATGTAGTGAGACTCCGTCTCTACCCAAAAAAAAAAGGTATAAAAATATTTTTAAAACTATGTCAGTAGTTGTTTCTTAATTTTATTTGGTAACACATTCAGATGAGAGAAAAACCACCATTTATCTTTATTAAGGACTTCCAAGATCTAGCCATGCTGTAGCCCTGACTTCGCAGATCTTACCTCTTTCTAGCTGCTCCCGTTTCCTGACGATTGTCAAGGTAGCTTCACTCCCAGTTTAAGTATCTCTTTTTTCAGTGAAATGTTCAGCCCTCACCTACCCAGTGTGCTCCTAGAACAACTTCTCCTAGGTCTTTTTTGGTTTTTTCTTGAGACAGAGTCTCGTTCTGTTGCCCAGGCCGGAGTGCAGTGGCGCGATCTCAGCTCACTGCAACCTCTGCCTCCTGGGTTCAAGCAGTTCTGCCTCAGCCTCCCGAGTAGCTGGGATTACAGGCGCCCGCCACCACACCCGGCTAATTTTTTTTGTATTTTTAGTAGAGACGGGGTTTCACCATGTTAGGCAGGATGGTCTTGATCTCCTGACCTTGTGATCTGCCCGCCTCGGCCTGTCAAAGTGCTAAGATTACAGGCGTGAGCCACCGTGCCCAGCTTCTCCTAGGTCAGCATTAATCACAGTGTGTTGTCATTGTTCATTTATTTGTCTTTATCTCTCTGCTAGATTGCAGTACCATTTATATTTAGCACATAGAGCTCTGTAAATGTTTAGTGAATTAGTTGGATGATAAATAACTCCAGTGAAATTTATTTAACTTTATATATGCCATCAAAAATTTTGGTTAGTAATCTGATGTATTAGATCAGCTATGGATCTCCAATTTCTGAAACCAACCAATTTCATTTTTAAGAAAATTTTTCATTTTAACAATTTGCTATTTGCATAGTCTCAATATAATTTGCAAGGACTTTCCAGCTTCATAAGCACATTTCCTAAAGATTTCTGTAGCTAACACTGTAGTTGTGACTTGTGTCTCATAGAGAGTTTACTTAAAGCAACAGTAGCTAACACTGTAGTTGTGACTTGTGTCTCATGGATAGTTTACTGAAAGCAACATTGTTCTCTTTTATTTTTGGAAGTTTCTTTTCTGTGATTTTTTTTTCCCCAAGGTGGTGGGGGGGAATTCTCCATTATTCCTATTCACTTCGTTTTTAAAGCCACTACCAACTGAATAGTTAGCAAAAGCAGTGAGATATGCCAGCTCTTTTTCTCCGCCAAACAAGAAATTTACCTTTATGCCTTGCATCTCAGATGCATAGGCATAAATTCCGGCCAGGCGCAGTGATTCACACCTGTATTCCCAGCACTTTAGGAGGTCGAAGCAGGTGGATCACCTGAAGTCAGGAGTTTGAGACCAGCCTGGCCAACATTGCAAAACCCGTCTCTACTAAAAATACAAAATTAGCCAGGTGTGGTGGCATGCACCTGTAATCCCAGCTACTCTGGAGGCTGAGGCAGAAGAATCACTTAGAACGCAGGAGGCGGAGGTTGCAGTGAGCTGAGATCACGCCAGCCTGGGCTACAGAGCAAGACTGTGTCTCAAAAAGAAACAAAAAACAAAGAGCATTAAAGGGAGGCAGAATCTATTAATAGAGCAAACATGAAGGTAACAGTCCAGGGCCACATGTTCTCAATTGGAGGGCCTCTGAAATCTAAGTGAACAGTCCTTTTTGGGGGACAGATCAACAGTGATTGGATCTCTCTACTTACTAAACGTTTCTGTTTTTTAGGTATCGAATGATAACAGAAGGCGGAGTCAGCATCAATCACCGACAAGTAACAAATCCTGAGAGTGTTTTAGTTGTTGGACAACATATTCTCAAGAATGGACTTTCCTTACTTAAAATAGGAAAAAGAAACTTCTACATTATAAAATGGCTTCAGTTATGATGAAAAGTCCTTCATGTTGTCCAAATAAACTTAACCATCCTTCATTCTCAAGACCTCTGAAGGGCTGGCTGCAGAACTGAGACCTTTGCTTATGCAAATCAGAAAAATAGAACGGCCTAGGACTCAGTGTGAGTAACTTCATTATTTTTATGGGCTGGTTAATAAATATTTGTTTAATGATGGGATGTTTTATTTTCTGATGTGCAAACCTTGATTACCATAAAAAAACATGACTTTCAGCGTTAATCTCTTTTTAAAATTATACTTCAGAAGAGAAAGAAATGCTGGCTTTCGTATCTTATCCTTCCTGCTCTCCTTTTTGTAGTGACGAGGAACAATAAAAAAGAGGTAGTGTAAGGAATTGTGAGGCAGTGTGCGGTGGCTCACACCTGTAATCCCAGCACTTTGGGAGGCCAAGCTGGGCAAATCGCTTGAGGCCAGGAGTTTGAGACCAGCCTGGCCAACAGGGTGAAACCCTGTCTCTACTGAAAATATAAAAATTAGCCAGGCATGGTGGCAGACCTGTAACTCCAGCTGCTCAAGAGGCTGAGCTGCAAGAATCACTCAAACCCAGTAGATGGAAGTTGCAGTGAGCTGAGATCACACCACTGCACTCCAACCCGGGAGATAGCATGAGGAGTGAGTGACACTCTGTCTCAAAAAAATAAAGGAATTGTAGCTGCTTTTGTATCAGATATGGAGCACCGATCTCACTAATGTTATATAGTTGTTTATAAAATCAACAGGGCCTCTAGTGTCCATATTAGAAATGGAAAAACTAGTATTAAAAACTTTGATTCAAAATTTGATTTTTTTGTAGTTCAGGGAGCAAATGTAGTTCTCCCTAAAAAGGAGAAAAGTTAGATGAGGCTATGGTTGCTTTGAGAAATTACAGTAAGAAGTAGTTTCTTTACAAAGAATAGTACAAAAATCAGTGTGTGACTTTTCAGAAAGTTTCTAATTCAGTTGTCTAGTTCCTTGCCTGTGTTCCAGTGTAATTCTATTCACGTTAAGCCTTGTCAGTGGATTCCTATGGTAGCAATGTTTTTTTAAATTTAGAAATTTAAATTGGTTTTAAGTTTCAACTTTTCCCCCCAAACAGATTCCAACTTGAGGTAAATTAAAAAGTTATACCCCATCATATGAGATGCAATCTCATATGCAATCATATGAGAATATCAAAAAGTATCCAGGTAAGGCAAGTTTTCAGGTCAAACTTAAAGGATTTGGAATCAAGACTGAGCTAGCTCTGCAAACATGAGGCAAATTAATTCTCCAGAACTATTTCCATATCTGAAAAATCAAGGCAATGGCCTCCCTGTTGCCTTGAGGATCAAGTGAATCACATACGAAATGATTAATCAGATTTCTTTTGAAAACCTTACAGGCAGCAGAGCATGGCTTTAGTGTTCAAATTCTAGCCATTACTACCTCGATTACTTGGAGCAAGTCACTGTCTTCATACGCAAAAATGGAGGTGTTATAATACCTTGGTGAACTGTCAGAATCTGGTAGGAAAAAAGTCATAAAATGTTTGGTATTCTATACAGTTATGTTCCAAAATAGATTTAGGTATTAAAAAGCTCTTTCTTTTCTCTCTCTTCCTTTCTCTGGGAGAAAAGTTAAGAATTCATTTTTTGACAAACTTTAATGTCATTTCATACCAGCAATTTTATTTACACAGCAAGAACATACAGGTATGTTATAAATGTCAGAGATCATCTCTACATTTCAGATCTTGATTCAGTTTAAGGGCCAACAAAGGAAGGTTTTTCTCTTTCCATTAAGTTTCTTGCCTCCGATTTTTGTTGTACAAAGTGTGTAGTACTAGCAAGTGCATTACCATAGCATGTCTTTAATTTTCAATTTGAAATCTGATGTGCTTGAGAAAAGTGCATCAAAAGTTTTTGTTTTTGTTTTTGTTTACCTTACAAATTCAAAAGACTAGAATAATGGTAGTCATCTGGAAAAAGTAAATCATGGATGGCTATAATTTTGAAACTGATGCTTAATGATGGCAGTGATTTTTTAAGTGTGGTAACGTTTTGGGAGCATGTATCCTCTCTCAAGATGGTACTAGTAAGAGATTCAAAGTAGTACCATATCGGATCAGACTGATGATGTGGGGTTTTTTATGTTTGAGATCAGTTGGTGAGCCTGTTGTTCCTTAGTAAATTGGTGCCATAAGCTAAAGTTAACATATTCATATTTTCCCTGCCAGTAGTCCTTCATAAATATCGGGTCATAAACTGAAAAAAAAAAAAAATTATCTGCAATATAAATGTGTTGTCTATTAGAAATGGGGCTAGATGTCTTAAGGATTTCTAAGTATATCTTAAAATTTATAATGTTGTGGTTCATACCAAGAATCATCTGGGGAATTTTAACAAAATATGTATATGTTCTAAACCTCATCACTACCCCATAAATGCAGCTTAAATCTGAAGGAGTATGTGTATCTAGGTTTTTTTCTTTTTTCTTTTTTGAGACGGAGTTTCGCTCTTGTTGCCAAGGCTGGAGTGCAATGGCACGATCTTAGCTCACCACAACCTCCACCTCCCGGGTTCAAGTGATTCTCCTGCCTCACCCTCCCGAGTAGCTGGGATTACAGGCATGCGCCACCATGCCCGGCTAATTTTGTATTTTTAGTAGAGACAGGGTTTCTCCGTGTTGGTCAAGCTGGTCTCCAACTCCTGACCTCAGGTGATCTGCCTGCCTCGGCCTCCCAAAGTGCTGGGATTACAGGCGTGAGCTACCACGCCCGGCCTTGGGTGTTTTTCTTTCAGCTCCTCCAGTACTTTCATACTATTCTAATACATTTTGTTGGTATGAAGCAAAAGTAGTTATTACCAGTGCATACATACAGAACATTGGTTTTAAGTTCCACCTCAAAGTGAATCTTAGAGCCTGGTTTAAGTGCTCCACTTTAGAGAGATGTACCTTAATTACTACTGTATTTGCAAATTAAGGGAAATTTAGGTCATCATTTGATTTTCTAAAACCTAAAAGGAACTGGCCATCATTACCAAGTCTTTCTAGATAATCAAGGGTAGATGGCTGTTTTTAATGTAGGAATTAATGTACACATTCCAGCTTTCAGGTTTAAGTATGAAGCAAAGCATATTTTAATTTGCTAGCGCAAATGGACCCAGAATTGGAAGGGCTATGTAACTACACAGTATGCACACCACATCCATGTCAGTGTCACAGATCCTCTTGTGCATTCAGCTTTCTTAAAAACACATCAAAGGCTGCAGAGAAGCTCAGAAAAACTAAATTGCAGGACAGGTGGAATACAATGACTCTATGTGAGGAACTTGCCAACTCACATCTTTCAAAGCCAGATCAGCTTATATAGTACATGCATTATAGTCATATGAAATGTTGTCTTGGTGCTTTCTTCTTGGAGGACTATGGCAGCAGCTTTGAGACTACTAACAAAGATTATTACACAGGTCATCTTATCCACAGGCAAACTGCTTTGCACAGCTAGAACATTAACAGTTCTTTTTAAGTTCAGATGAAACTGTCACAAGACAGACTTGATGTATTTTACATATACTGGGAAACTTTAGAAACAGCCATTTATTATTTGGATTAAATGTGTGATTCGTTCTGTAATATGGAATACACTTTTCAGTTTATAGCCAGTCTTCACATGAGCAGATTCATACCACTGCAATACACAGGAGTTCATAAATAAGATTCTACTCAGGTAGGCAGTAACTAGCAAGTTTTGAGTCAACAAAGTCTCAGTATTACATAGTTCTCTTCACCAAAGATGAGTCTCTCGGATTTCAGCAATAATTTGACTGGCTCCTTGTAATGCCTGCATTAAAGGAAATAAAAATTGTAAATGCTATTACAAAGTTATGAAATTAATCTGAATTATGCGGGGTGGTTTTCCCAGTGTATATGTGGTAGGTTTATAACTAACCAATAAATATCTTCTCTGGAATTTGAATCTAATCAAGTACCAGCCAGGTGCGGTGGCTCACGCCTGTAATCCCAGCACTTAATCCCAGTACTCTGGGAGGCTGAGGTGGGCAGATCATGAGGTCAGGATATCGAGACCATCCTAGCTAACACGGTCTCTACTAAAAATACCAAAAAGCAGCCGGGCATGATGGCGGGTGCCTACGGTTCCAGCTACTCTGGAGGCTGAGGCAGGAGAATGGCGTGAACCCGGGAGGCGGAGCTTGCAGTGAGCTGAGATGGCACCACTGCACTCTAGCCTGGGCTACAGAGCAAGACTCCGTCTCAAAAAAAAAAAGATTTTTATCAAGTACCAATAGGAAACAAGCCTAGCTAGAATATAAAGACTATATACATCCAAGAATCAAACTGCATTTAACACTATTTCTATGTTTCTATCTACTACCCAAGTATAAAAATTCCAAAGGTTCACAGTACCTTTAGCATATCAGCTGCTTCTTTCCTGCGCTGTGCCATGTCCTCAGATTCAGTCAGAAGATCATCCAATAAGGATGATTTATAAAGCTGGCCTACTAGCTCACTCTGAAGAGTGTCTTTCACATGATTAACCAAAAAATGCATTACTGCCTTTGGCACACTGCAAACAAAACCAAATTACGGAATTTTAGCCAAAATTCTACTTTTAATAATCTGGGCTTAGAAAATAACCTCATGAAATAAAGTTAAGTAAGAACACTCTACTACTTTGGATATTTCATTAATGGCGTAATCGCCCTTTATATTTTTGCTTAATTATAATTAAACATTAAGAAAAGCAGTTCTCGGCCGGGCGCAGTGGCTCATGCCTGTAATCCCAGCACTTCAGGAGGCTGAGGCAGGTGAATTGCTTGAGGCCAGGAGTTTGACACCAGCATGGCCAACATGGTGAAACCCCATCTGCACTAAAACTACAAAAATTAGCTGAGCGTGGTGGCGCACGCCTGTGATCCCAGCTACTCGAGAGGCTGAGCTACTTTACCTTCTTTCCATCATCCTTATTTCAAAACTCTTCAATAGGCATTTACTCATAATAGCCAATAAGTGAAAAAAACACAAACATCAGCTGATGAATGGATAACACAGTATATCTCTATAATCTAGTATTATTCACAGATAAAAACATACATCACTTAATGACAAGGATATGCTCTGAGAAATGCATTATTAGATGATTTCATTACATGAACATCACAGAGGGTTCTTACACAAATGTAGATGGTACAGCCTACAACACGCGTAAGCTATATGAGATAGCCTATTGCTCCTAGGCTACAAACATGTACAGCATGTTACTGTACTGAATAGGGAACTGTAATACAATGGGAATAATTTGTGTATCTAAACATAGAAAATGTACAGCAAAAATATGGTATTATAATCTAATGGGAACACATTCAAATATGTTGTGTGTTGACTAAAATGTTATGTGGCGCATGACTATACTGATTCATACTACAATACAGATGAGGCTTGAAAACATTAAGTGAGCCAGGTGCGATGGCTCACGCCTGTAATCCCAGCACTTTGAGAGGCCGAGACAGGTGAATCACTTGACGTCAGGAGTTCGAGACCAGCCTGGCTAATATGGTGAAACCCATCTCTACTAAAAATACAAAAATCAGCCAGGCATGGTGCTGCACACCTGTTATCCCAGCTACTCAGGAGGCTAAGGCAGGAGAATCGCTTGAACCCTGAAGGCGGAGGTTGAAGTGGGCCAAGACTACGCCACTGCACGCCAGCCTGGGCGACAAAGCGAGACTCCATCTCAAAACAAAAACACCCTCTGCAGGGGATGGGGGCAATGAAGGAGACAAATGGAATTTTTTCTTCAGGCCCACAGTGTAAAACACTAGGAACTATTATTTCTACCACAAGCTACAGGTTTAAAAAGTCTACAAGCAAAAAAGATAAATGGTTCTACAGACAAAATCATTTATTTCAATATGAAGTATATTTATTACTCTGTGCAGTAAAATTCATCTTAGCTGCTGACAGATTACCAAAAACTGGATACAGAATATTTTCTAATAGATCACTTCATACAACTAAATGTGTATTCTCCCTATTACTGCATGAAATGACATACCAGGCAACATGAAGGAGAAGATGCAGTAGGGGAGTAGACACATGCAAAAACATTCTGAACGAGAAACCGTATACATATTTCTTAGTAAAAGACATTCGTTTTGATGCTTTGGAAAACCAAGTTAAATTAAAAAGGCAAGTCAGTGTTACTAGCCAAAATAGTTAATGAAACTACTGAATTAAAATTTAGGAAAAAAACATTTTCTTAAATGACTCAAAATGTGGCAGCCATATAGAACAAAAGATTCATTTTAATAGCTTTTTCTAGCTGATACATGAGGTCCTAGTCATTCTGTGTTAACAAACTGAGTCTTGCTACAAGTTACCAAAGGACTATCAGAGAATCCACTCGATGATTTAGAATAAAAACCTAAAATTTAAAAAATACATGTATTTTTCAAAACAGATCATAGAATCATCCAGCAGTATTAGAGCCTGTGATTTATATTAAGTAATACTAACCTGTCTTGAATATTCTTTCTGACAATAAGAAAATATGATTTAATGAGTCGTTCAATAACCTCACAATCTCGCTGTTCCCGAGCGGATAGTTTCCGTGCAACAGGAACTGGCTAAATAGGGATGAGGGGGGAAAAATGTTACTTTTGTGACACTTTGAAATGGCAGCATTTAACATCTGAAAGTTATGTAAGTTTTTGAGACTTTAGTTCTTTCTGTCTAATCAATTTCCTACTAACTTGGTCATCTTATTAGACCTAAACCAAAGTGTCATGGCTTACCACATCCAGCAGATTCACAGCATGACCTTTTTGTGGACTGGCTGGCATAATTGGAATGGGTTTTGATTTTTCTTCTGCTAATAACTCTTCAGCTTTTGAAGTCTTCAGCATTCCTCTCCAATTGCCTGTTGTTGGTTCTTGAACACCATCTCCAACCCCACCACCTCCAGATGCAACCTGAAAAAACATGTTCCAAAACCTATACCAACCACATCATATCTGACCTTAACTAAAACGAAGTTCATTTTATTTGACAGTAGTCAATATACATCCAGTACCCATCTGAAGTTTATTCATACAGATAATGAGGTCAGAAGGAGACAGTAGGTAGCATGTATAACTGAAACCCTGACCTAGCTAAATAAGAGGTTCTGCTGTAAATTGTTTGCAAGGCATCAACCAATTTATGTTCTATTTAATTCCTTTTTTCTTTATCATTCGCTCGCCAACTTTTCAAAATCATTCCTCTTCTCCCACCCTTCAAACACTAAATTGTAGAAAAAGTATATGCTGCCCTTAAAATCAAAACTACTCGTTAAAAGCACAAAGAACTGCCATTCAGTTTAATTTAAGTAATCATAAACACTGTTAAACTCTAAAAGTTCCATGAACTTATGTCTCTGAAGTTAAGAGTTTATGTATTTCAAGTCAATTTACATTCCTATAGTCAACAAAATGCCATAAGGTATCAGTAGGAACTCTTTAACAAAAAGCAAGACTACATTTGCTTTTCGTAGGCTGACAGTCACTATGAGTTCTTTCAAATGTGGAACGTGATAAACACAACAGAAATCCCCTCAACCTCTGTACTCTTAAGGATTTGCAGAAAGAAATCTAGTGCTATCACATTAATCACAAGTGCTTTTACACCTTATTTTCTAGAAAATTTATTAATCTTGACTTCTAAAAGTCAAAAATGACTTTATAATGGAAAAACATAATTCATCAACATTTAAGAGGGTTTTTTTTTTTTTAGTTATTCTTTAAGACCTTACAATCTAAAAATGGATTATATAAATTTAATAGAGGATTATGGCAGTAAGAAAAATGGTAGTTTGGGGTAGCATTCTGAATCGAAATACTTGCTTAAATCTGTCTTTAATATGTCAGTTAAGGTGAACTATAAATATTAGTATATTTATATTACACATTAACTTAAAAATGAGTAATTAGGTTTTTATACATGAATGACATACCAAATGAAATCTTAAGGAGAGTGAGCACATTCAGTGTGATGTCATGAATGAAATAAAACTTGTGCAGTGATTTAGATGGTTTGCTTAATATCTGAGCACAGTGGAGCTGAGAGAAGATAAGACATTTATAAACCTTTATCTCAAGTTCAGAACTTTAAATCTGGATAATTAAGGAAAGGAGCTAAATGGCAGAAAATCTTGAAATAGCAATGAGTCTGAATAATTTATACATTATTTAATTTTCCTCTAAAATGGTTATTAAGAATTGAAAACAGTCTCAAACTCTCACAGTCCCCCTGTTTGTTTTTAATTTGCTTAAGCTTCTGAAGCATATGTGAAGCTATATATAGGGTAACAAGTGCAAACTAACTGGAAGCATGAGAAAGAAGCATTAGATTAGAGGATTATCTATTAGTACTGAACAGATCTCAAGATCTTTAAAGAGGAAAGGAAATGTCCAAAAATACAATTCCATCTCTGAAATCTAGGAAATCTCTGAATTTCCTATCAAAATATGTTAAATTTCCTATCAAAATTTAAAACTATTCTTGAAGGTCACAGAAAACAGTGAGAAAGCCTATTATTGTTACTAATTAAAACGTTTAACGCCATCTTCCACCGGTTAGATAAAAGGAACATTAAGAACATAACACAGACAAGAGATAGATACCACTACACAAACAGGTTATTTAATGGTGTTACAGACAGTGTTTCAGTGAGAACCAGAGGTACCAACATTTCCATTCTGAAGCAAGAGACTCACATTTTTAGTTTCTCTTCTGCTGTCCTGAATTAACTGTTGAAAGATATGTTAAAACATGCAATTTAACAAGCAAAATTTAAATACCAATGGGTTGAAATTTTAAAAGTGCAGGATAATTTCCTCTTTAAATTACTTCTTTTTCTGTGTGCATCTTCTATATTGCAAGCAAAAGCATGTCAACAATATAAACTCTGCATTGCATTGTTATATAATTTTAAAATATATATTAGACTAAAGTGATCTGACCTTAGCATGGTATCCCATATTAATATTCTTCTATTCAGTGTATTGTTTCCAGAAGATTATGTTGTACCAAAGAACTAGGCATGCAGGCTTAGATTAAGAATCAGAACAGACCTTGCCATCAGCCTCAGCAGAAGCAGCGGGGGAGGGCTCCTGGGAGGCAGGTGCCAAAGCACTTGGAACTTTAGAAGACTAAAGGCAAAAAATGCAGGGGGGAATAAAAATCAAGGATGCAAAAATGCATTCAGGAACACTCTATAAATGTGAATTTTTCCCTTCTGTAACAAAATCGTAAAATAACATGAAAAATGAAAATAATCATGGGAGATAAAATTATTTATTCTGCCTTATTTCCTTCACCATTGTCACCTTTGTTAAAAGTTTCCTTCAGATGAATACATAATAAAAATCCAAATCCAAAAGCTTCATTTTTATTTTTGGTATTTGATAAGATTCTTTTCTGGCAAAGAAGTCAAGGTAAAAGATTTTTATACACACTTTAGTATTACAACTATTATAAGTATTACTAGTAATTAAAAACTCTATTCTGTGTATACTGTGTTTTCCAAGAAACCCTCTTATTATAATAAAATATTTAGTCATTTCAACTATTTACAAAGTTGATAAAGTCACTGACTGAATTTTTTTAAAAAGCTTGATGCTTAAATGCTTAAATAAACCCTTAAACCTACTTTTAAGCATTTGTCAGTGAATTCAAAATACTAATACCTTTAAATCACTCAAAACCCATTTTAAACTTGTCTTTACTCAGTTCCAATGGAGTGTTAAAGGGAGGAAAAGAAGAAACAATTACTCCTAGAACTGAATAATATTCTGAGCTCATCAGTCTATCTTTAGGTATTGGGAATATGCATTTGAAACTTTTTTTTTTTTACCTTGTCTCGTGATACAGCTGAAGGTAATTCTCTGGCTAGCCTGTTTCTCCTTTGTTCCTAAGAAACACAATCGAGCAGAACAAAAGTGATTATCCAAGTATTGAGATATATGCCTACTAAAAAATGTTCATGTTAATTGAAAAGTGTGGAGTAACTTAGAGATACATCCTCTCACTGTTGGGACTCATGCCATAATTATCATATTTTAAAATAAATAAATCATTTAACCCAAAGCTTCTCAATCTTTTTTTTTTTTCTGCCCATACACCTGAAGGATACAATACAGTGTCAGTAACAGTGGCTCCCTATACTGGAGATTCTCAAATGAGGGGCAACAGAGTGACACCTTCTCCCCCTTTCCTGTCCTCACATAAATGTGGAACATAAGCCTTCAACATACCATGCGGAATTTGAAGTCCAGAGATCACAGAAAACTCCACAAAGACTTTAAAAGTCACTCTAACCTGAACACCTTTGTGTTAAATTCAAACAACTCCCCTCATAAAACCGTATCTTGAAGAAGTATCTGTGGTTGACGTTATCCTATAAAAATGTTCCATTTCTTTATCCTGTCTCCAGGAAATAGTGTTGACAACTGAAAGTCCTTTCTGTAACCTGGCTAATTCAACAGACTGATCAATTGCCCACTGTTCTAATTTGCTAATATTATCAAAGTAACTTGTACAAAGCTAAAGAGACTGTTAAATTCAAATTAGAATGTCCCAAGCATCTGCTATATCCAAGCACCAAGAGAGATAGGTAAAAGATTATGAAAATATTGGCCAGGCACGGTTGCCTCATGCTTGTAATCCCAGCACTTTGGGAGGCCAAGGTGGGCAGATCACTTGAGGTCAGTTCAAGACCAGCCTGGCCAAAATACTGAAACCTTGTCTCTACTAAAAATATAAAAATTAGCCGGGCATAGTGGTGCACACCTGTAATCCCAGCTACTCGGGAGGCTGCAGCAGGAGAACTGCTGGAACCCAGGAGGCGGAGGTTGCAGTGAGCAGAGTTCATGCCACTGCACTCCAGCCTGGGCGACAGAGTGAGACTGTCTTTAAAAAAAAAAATATTATGAAGATACAGAAATCTGTAGATGTTAATGGTGAATCTCTCACAGGCAGCATCAAATACAGTAGAAACTATTTAGGTTAAAGTCAAAATTGCTCCTAAGGAGAAAGTATTTCATGAACACAGTTCAACTTGCAAAAAACTATAAGTTAACAAAGCTTCACAATGCTTTTGTTTTTGTTTTTTGTTGAGGTAGAGTCTCGCTGTGTTGCCCAGGCTGGGGTGCAATGGCATGATCTTGGCTCCCTGCAACCTCCACCTCCCGGGTTCAATTGGTTCTCCCTGCCTCAGCCTCCCTAGTAGCTGGGATTACAGGCACCCACCACCCCTGGATAATTTTTGTATTTTTAGTAGAGACAGTTTTGCCATGTTGGCCAGGCTAGTCTTGAACTCCTGACCTCAGGTGATCAGCCTGCCTCAGCCTACCAAAGTGCTGGGATTACAGGCGTGAGCCACCGCACCCAGCCCACAATGATGTTCCATGTGTAAGAAATTTTTTTTTTTTGCCAGAAACTTGGCCCAATTTTATTTTTTCATGGGAGGGTATTCAGTAATAAAAAATAACAGATAGTAAAAGTATAGATATTAACAATCTTCACAATAAAAAATTAGCATGATAAAATGTACGTTTTGAACAGGGATACAAAGCAAAAGGCACAGTATCTCGAATTCTCACCCTAGACTGTTACTAACCAGTTATGATCTGAGCTGCTCCCGGACCCCAGCAGACCTGGTGTACCTGCGTTGCTAACTGGACAGCTTACCAACTTTTTGAAGCCCTAGTGTCCTAATCTGTTAATGACATGATCTGCCCTCAGGGTTACGGTAAAGATTAAATGAAAATATCCACATAAAGTTCTCTGGCACAGTCATTATAACCACAAACCTATTCATTTGTAGAAAAATACTAATCTGAAATCATATCACATATGACCTTGTCAGTGTAACAAAACTATCACAAACACAAGTTTTTCATGATGTTAGTTTCAATGCAAAAAGAACTAAATCCTTTTAAGTGTCTACATGCTAATTTTTAACATAACTGTTATCTAGCGTGTTTTGAAGAGCCTACTCATGTATGCATTTTGGAATTTTTTCTGATAACAGGAATCACCAAAAATGTAACCAAATGTAACCAAAAATGTAACCAAAAATGAGTTCCCTATACCTGTGTTAAGAAGGTGCTTGTTTCCTATAATAGTGCCCTGCAAAATAAGCACCAAAGGAATAACTGCTATCTGTAAACCTCAAGCTCTCCATTTTTTTTTTTTTTTGGAGACAGAGTTTTGCTCTTGTTGCCCAGGCTGGAGTGCAATGGCACGATCTCAGCTCACTGCAACTTCCACCTCCTGGGATCAAGTGATTCTCCTGCCTCAGCCTCCCTAGTAGCTCAGATTACAGGCACCTGCCACCAACCCCAGCTAATTTTTTGTATTTTTTAGTAGAGACAGGGTTTTACCATGTTGGCCAGGCTGGTCTCGAACTCCTGAAGTCAGGTGATCCACCTGCCTTGGCCTCCCAAAGTGCTGGGATTACAGGTGTGAGCTACCACGCCTGACCACCCCATCTGTTTTAACCGGAATTGAAGTCAATAACACAGGATCCCTTCCAGCTTCTGAACTGCATATTTACAATTTTCTCACCATGCATACGCAGAAGAGGAAATTTGATACAGAAGGGGACTCTGAGGTCTTACTGAATTAGGGAGTAACAGGAAAATGTACTATTTTTGGAGAAAAGTGGCAGAGGAAAAAAGTGGCTTCTGGATCAATTGCTCTCTCCACCAGCCTTGGCTCCATCTGAGATCTTATTCAATTTGTTACATTAACATCAAAAGGAAAGAAAAGATCCATGAAATGCAGCCACCCCAGTACTGGTGAAAAAAGCACTCTGCTTTTCCAAGTTTATGCTAAGTTGGTCAATTCTTGAGTGTTTCCTTCACAGCTTTCAGAGCCAAATGAAAACAATTTTAAACACTTCGTTGTACACACTTCCCCTGTATAAACTATAAGTTACCAAAATAGAGCCAGTCACACCAAATCAATGAATTCTCAGATTCTTTCTGAATTTCAATTTCATAAGCAGAAAGTAATAATGCCTCCAGGTGGTTTTGAGAATTAAGAAAACAATGTAATCCCCTCAGCATACTTCCTGGCATGCAGCAGGCACTAATGTGGCACATGTCTATTTTATCATTACTCCGTGCTAAGTAAGTTTGATATAACTGAGTTACAACAGATTTTTCTGTGAAAAAGTGTAAGAATTATATTTACCTCTATATTATTGTTCATTAGGCCACAAGCATCAGCAAAGTCTGGATGTTTTGTGTTGATATAAGCCAGTTCAATTGCCACTAAGTTATGGACCTAGAAAAAAGGTAAGTTAGGCTATATACAAAAATACATCAACCATATTTTACTTTGAGAAATTTATACATAAAACTTACGAAACAGACAATACCGAAAAAGTACAGGAAACTTATGCCTAAATTACTTGATAATTATATTCCAACTGATAAATCTTATGTCAAACAATAATTTACTCTAGCTTTAAAATTATTTACATTTCAGCATCTAAAACTGCATTTCTAAGAGGGAACAATAACATTAAAGTAACTACAAGTATTTTACTGTTAGGGAAAAATAGTCATCTAGTTGATGCAAATCTAAATTCCAATGCTTTATGCAACTTTGCTATTAAAACTTCAGATCATCCACTATTCCATGTCACTTTTTAAGTTCATTTTCAACAATAAGAAAATAAGTTCATAACCAGGCATAAGTTAAAAATGTTAATTTTATTTGGGTAAAGGATACATCTAAAGACCTGAGGTAGTGACTGGTTAGCCTTAACTATAAAGCACCTAGTTAAAATATTATATGTAGTTCAAAATCCTTAGAGGAAAATTAAAAAGAAAAGTTAAAATTAATTTATCCAGCCCTCTACAGAATTGCTAAGTCTTTGTTTGTTTGTTTGTTTTTTGAGATGGAGTTTTGCTCTTATTGCCCAGGCTGCAGTGCAGTGGCGCAATCTCGGCTCACCGCAACCTCCACCTCCTGGGTTCAAGTGATTCTCTTGCCTCAGCCTCCCGAGGAGCTGGGATTACAGGCATGCGCCACCACGCCTGGCTAATTTTGTATTTTTAGTAGAGACGGGGTTTCTCCATGTTGGCCAGGCTGGTCTCAAACTCCCGACCTCAGGTGATCCACCCACCTCGACCTCCCAAAGTGCTGGGATTACAGGCGTGAGCTACCACACCACTAAGTCTTACAGAGAGAAAAAACTTAAGCCCTTTATTATGTGCTGTCCTAACAAATCTCAGGTATCAGAATGGCACTTATCAGTCCAGAACCGGGTAAAAAGGGTCTATTAAAATGAAGGTCCAATGATTCTGTGCTATATTCAGTCTTAGACATCAGAATCTGAGGGGTGTCCTCACTAAAGAAACAGCCAAGCAGCAGCACTTACATTCCAAGGATGGTTTTGTACTCTTAGTAACCTCCACGGGGCTCACCATCCTGAGCCAAGGACCCAAATGCACTTTTAGTGATCAGAAAGAAAAACAAAAAACAAAAACCCAGCCAACAATTAGAGGCATAAGGGCAATTTTAAATGCTTATCCCATATTTCTGCCAATTTCAGCATTTTTATTTGTGTGGATAGCAGCAACCCACAGAATAGTAGCAAGCAACTATGATATTATAGTTATTAGGTCATAACAAGCAAACTGCAGAAGTGGCCAGATTACGCCGATGTACCTCAAAGTAAGAGTGTGCTATAAAGGCTCAGTTTACTGAGGCTAAAGATGGAACTAATTTTCTGTTAAGATCAGTGGTACTAAATAATACAGCAAAGGTATTCACACCCCTCAATCATAAATCTATTTTCAAGAAAACCCATGTCTGTAGGCTAACGATTAAAATACGAAGAAAAAATATACTTTATACTAGAATTATTAAAAATTTTCCTTTAAAATGAGACTGAAACTCAACTTCTTTTTCCTCCCAATACACTGGAAAACATTATGCCTAAACTCTAAAGTAACCATATAATGTTTATTAAAAAGCAGTCAAGCAAAAATTTAAACTTTTACTCATAGTAATTACAATGATCTATGCTATAGTAGCTCACCATTTCATTTGTAACAGGCAACCTTTTACGAAGAAGACAAGTCACCACTTCAACTATGGCATCATGAAGTTTAGGAAATCGTAACAATTCCTATAAATGGCAGATGAAAGAAAAATGTAAGTTTGGTTTTTTTCTTTTTAAGACATAGTCTCACTAAGTCATCCTCCCACCTTAGCCTACCAAATAGCTGAGACTACATGGATAAGCCACCATGCCAGGCCAACAGTCATTTTCTTTTATTTAATGATCACAGAAATACTGAATTAGATTTAGAGCCTACATTTAAGAATCCTATTTCAAACCACTTTCAGGTAAGGGAACTACAGATTTTACCTTGTATCCCATCTTACACATTTCCTTCCACCCAGTGAAACCACCACTTCATGTTCTTTTCTAGTTTACGTGAAACCTGTTACATTTCTCTCCGTTACCTGTGTACTGTAATTGCTACAGTGCTGAATGATCCTTTGCATTTCCTCATGAACCAGTTCCACACAGCGGAGGCTGGGCTCTTCTAGACGTTTGATTTGCCGCTTCACCAGTAACTCAAATGAAACCTCAGGCACAAATAAAGCAGGACGAGGACCCTGAGAAAATAAAACTTACAACTCTTATTATATATGTACTTTCAGTGCTTCCCAAAGGTTAAGTCACATTTTTTGTATTTTTCATGCAAAATGCTTTTTAATTTCAAATATGAGAGCAAAATAAACTGTATAATTAAGTTTAAAAAGACATAGTATATGAGTAAGAAAAACTTTAACCTCATTTTTTTTACAGTCTAAAAAGCTAAGCATACTCACAGTAGCATTTCTAATGGCAGTCAAAATGTCAATAGTGTTAAGGCCACCAAGTGGATCGACAGATTCTAAGGTTCGCCCAAAAGTCTCATGGAAAATATAACAAATTCTAGCACCACCGCATCTGAAAGGCAATGAAGTATATGGTTTCTGGCATTGTGAAAGGGGAAAGAAGATACAAGTTAGAAGTCTTTCTAGACCTTTAAGTTCATCTTATTTTCTGAGAAAGCCTCAGATAAACAACTTCATTCATTCCCATTACCATGTGTTCTAATTCAACTCATTATGAACTAGTTTCTCTAATTTTTTTAAATGGGAAAAGGAATCATTAAATGATAAGTGTGTGTATGTATATATATATATATATATATATATATATATTTGTAAATATGATACATGTTCTGACATAAAACAACAGTTAACTAAGAATTGCTAAGCACCTTTTCGCTGCCCTAGTTTTCCTCAACTAGAATATAAGCTCCTTGAGAATAGGAAACAGTGCCTTATATTTATTTCCATTGATTCACAGTCTGAAGTAGAGGTTGGCAAACTTTTTCCATAAAGGGTCACATAGTTAGTATTTTAGGCTTTTCAGGTCATACAGTCTCTGCTGCAACTACTCAACTCTACCATTAAGCACATAAGCAGCCACAGACAATATGTAAATAAATAAGCATAGCTTGTTAGCCAGGCTTGTCTCAAACTCCTGACCTCAAGTGATCCACCCGCCTTGACCTCCCAAAGTGCTGGGATGACAGGCATGAGCCACCCGTGCCCAGCCCTACTCTTGCTTTAGACAAATTAAATTTCTTTTTCTTGTTGTTTTTGTTTTTTTGGGTTTTTTTGAGACGGAGTCTCCCTCTGTTGCCCAGGCTGGAATGCAGTGGTGGGCTCTTGGCTCACTGCAACCTCCGCCTCCCGGGTTCAAGTGATTCTCCTGCCTCAGCCTCCCAAGTAGCTGGGACTACAGGCATGCACCACCATGCCCAGCTGATTTTTGTATTTTTAGTAGAGATGGGGTTTCACCACAATGGCCAGAATGGTCTCGATCTCTTGACCTCATGATCTGCCCGCCTCAGCCTCCCAAAGTGTTGGGATTACAGGCATGAGCCACCACACCCAGCCTTAGACAAATAAAATCTCTTGATATAGTTACTGAGCACCTTATGTTTCCTATCTTGTTTAATAACTAGTAACCCTGGTATTATCTTTTTCAAATTCAAGTCCAGTTGAATTGTACAAATACCTTTATAATGCCTCCCCAAATCATCCCTTCCTCTCTATTTTTACAACCACTAATGAGTACCTTTTTATAGTAGCTCAGGTAAAAGGTACTAGTCTAATATTATGCTAACAGAAGTAAGCCATGCACAAAAGGACAAATACTGAATGATTCAATTTATATGAAGTATCTACAATAGGCAAATTCAGACACAGAAAGTAAATTTGGCCTGACACGGTGGCTCACACCTGTCATCCCAACACTTTGGGAGGCCGAGGCGGGCAGATCACCTGAGGTCAGGAGTTCAAGACTAGCCTGCCCAACATGGTGAAACCCATTCTCTACTAAAAATACAAAAAAATACAAAAATTAGCCAGGTGTGATGGTGGGCACCTGTAGTCCCAGCTACTCAGGAGGCTGAGGCAGGATGATTGCTTGAGCCTGGGAGGCAGAGACTGGCCCAGACTGTGCCACTGCATTCCAGCCTCAACAATAAAGTGAGGCGCTGTCTCAAAATTAATTAATTAATTAATTAATTAAATTAGAGGTTACCAGGGCTGGAGGAGAGGGGAATGAGGAGTAATTGCTTAATAGATAAGAATTTCGGCTGGGCGCAGTGGCTCATGCCTGTAATCCCAGCACTTTGGGAGGCCGAGGCAGGCGGATCACAAGGTCAGGAGTTCGAGACCAGCCTGGCCAGCATGGTGAAACAGCATCTCTATTAAAAATACAAAAAATTAGCCGGGCATAGTAGTACGCACCTGTAATCCCAGCTACTCAGGAGGCTGAGGCAAGAGAATCACTTGAACCCAGGAGGCAGAGTTTGCAGTGAGCCGAGATCACGCCACTACACTCCAGCTTGGGCAATAGAGTGAGACTGTCTCAAAAAAAAAAAGGGGGGGGGCTGGGTGCAGTGACTCACGTCTGTAATCCCAGCATTTTGGGAGGCCAAGGCAAGTGGATCATGAGTTCATGAGATCGAGACCATCCTGGCTAACATGGTGAAACCCCATCTCTAAAAAAAATACAAAAAAAAAAAAAATTAGCCAGACATGGTGGCACACGCCTGTAGTCCCAGCTACTGGGGAGGGTGAGGCAGGAGAATCACTTGAACTTGGGAGGCGGAGGTTGCAGTGAGCCGAGATCACGCCACTGCACTCCAGAGTGGGCGACAGAGCAAGACAGAAAAGACTTTGTATCTACAGTCTTGTTCCTAGACACCCTTCCTGTCTTATCTCCTATTATGTCCCATCACTATACATGCTGTTCTACAAAAACATTCTTGCATTATTCTTTGCTGTTCCCAAGCCTGAAACACCCTCTCATTACTGGCTTCTCAAATTCTATTCAGAGCCCAATTCAAATGCCTTCTTATATGTGGAGCTCTCCCAAACCCTGAAATAAATGTCAATGGTCTCTCTTCAATGTCTGAAACGCTTCATTAGGTAGACACAGATAATTGGTTCATTAACTATTTATAAAGTGTTCATATACGCTATATGTACTTTTCTGAATATGAATTATATATAACAATAAGAAGTATTTAAATAAAAGTTATACTTTTGCAGCCTAATCAAGCCCAGTATTACCTTGACCTACTTTACCCACTAAACTCTTTAAAGGCCCATTTGTGGTCATCTTTATTTTTTTCAATATGCCATATATATAACCATTCAATAATTAGTCTGATAAATACTCTCTTGACGGAGTTGACCATATGAAGACCATCTCGGTTATACTAAAGTATATAGAACTACACACACACACACACACACACACACACACACACACACACACAAATGAGTTAACGTATAAATCTGAACAAGTTCTGTGGCTTGTACCCATGTCCATTTCTCACTTTGTTATTGTACTGTAGTTATGCAAGATCTCCAACAGTGGGGGAAGTTGGGGAAAGGGTACACAGTGGAGGGTGAGTGGGACCTTCCTGTACATCACCCTGCAACTTCCTGTGAGTCTATAATTATTTCAGAATAAAAAGATGTTTTTAGAGAAATGGTTGTTCTTGCTAGTAGTAAAACAGTACAATATGCTAACAATATGCAATATGTAATGAAAGATTCTAAGGATATTATATCCTTTAATCTAATAAACTTACTTCTACAAATTTATCCTCAGTGTTTACTTGGACACAAGCCCCAAAGATAGATGCAGGTAGTCCATCACAGCTTATATGTGTATATAACAGAAAACAAACTATCCAGTAGTAGGAGACTGGCCCAACAAATGAGGGTATATCTAAAAAGTAAAATACTATGCAAATCTTCAGACTGATAATGTATGAGATAGAAAGTTATTTGTTACATGATTTAAAAAATGATTCCAAGATAGGTATAGCATCTGATTTTTAAAGATATGTAGTACAGGCATCTATGTGTTATAGATGCATAGAAAAATGCCTAGTTCAATGCCAAATTTTAGGAATTATCTCGGGTTGGTGAAATTAAGGGTTTGTTTTCGTTTTCAGAGATGGGGTCTCCTTTTTTAGCGCCATCTGCTTGCAGCGCTGCCTCTTGCTCCTCCCACCACCTCCTCTTGCTCCTCCCACCACCGCTGCTGCCCTGAGTCACTGCCTGCACAGCTCCACCCGCCTGGCTCCCCATACTAGCCTCTGATATTTGAGTTCTTACAACATGGCAGACATTGACAACCTGCCTAGCTAGGGTAGTTAAAAGAGGAGTGAATACTCTCAAAAACCTGCATAAGTGCACAGATAGAAGCCAAATTATATGAGGAAGTTCACAATCTTGAAAGAAAGTATGCTGTTCTCTATCAGCCTCTATTTGATAAGCAATTTATGATTATTAATACAATTTATGAACCTATGAAGAATGTGAATGGAAACCAGATGAAGAAGATGAGATTTCAGAGGAGTTGAAAGAAAAGGCCAAGACTGAAGATGAGAAAAAAGGATGAAGAAAAAGAAGACCCCAAAGGAATTCCTGAATTTTGGTTACCTGTTTTTAAGAATGTTGACTTACTCAGTGATATGCTTCAGGAACATGATGAACCTATTCTGAAGCATTTCGATGATACTAAAGTGAAGTTCTCAGATGCTGGCTAGCCGAAGAGTTTTGTCTTAGAATTTCACTTTGAACCCAGTGAATATTTTACAAATGAAGTGCTGACAAAGACATGTAGGATAAGGTTAGAACCAGAACCAGATGATTCTGATCCCTTTTCTTTTGATGGACCAGAAATTATGGGTTGTACAGGGGGCCAGATAGATTGGAAAAAAGGAAAGAATGTCACTTTGAAAACCATTAAGAAGCAGAAACACAAGGTACATGGGACAATTCGTACTGTGACCAAAACAGTTTCCAATGACTCTTTGCCCCTCCTGAAGTTCCTGAGAGTGGAGATCTGGATGATGCTGCTGAAGCTGTCCTCGCTGCAGACTTCAACATTGGTCGCTTTTTATGTGAGCATGTAATCCCAAGATCAGTGTTACAGTTTACTGGAGGAGTTACGGAAGATGATGATGATGAGTATGGTGAAGAAGGTGAAGAAGCAGATGAGGAAGGGGAAGATGAAGGAGATGAGGGAAATGATCCAGACTATGACCTGAAGAAGGATCAAAACCCAGCAGAATGCAAGCAGCAGTGAAGCAGGATATATGTGGCCTTGAGGATAACCTGCACTGTAATAGCCTAAACACAACTCTTACTTACTGCCTTATGTTTTTGTATTTTCTTGGTAGACTACGTAATTTTTGTTTTAAAGGACAGGAAACTGATATTTTAAAGACCAATTTGTTCTAGCTAGCATTTTCACTAGTTTTTCTGCCAGATATGTTGAATGCACAAATTCTGTCACACATGTTCATTCATTGCTAATAATTTGGTTCTTCTGGAATCTTTTTATGTAGCTCTTGGAGTACAGCTATGAAAATTAACAACTGTTAAAGGAAACACTTTTTTTTTTTTCCCGGAATTTTTTCCTTGAAGAACCAAAGTATATTTTCAGCTGTCTGTTGAATAGGGTTAAGTCTGCTTGGATTAGCTATGCCTTTCATTACTTTGTTACAGAAATGCAGGGACTTATACTAAGACAATTCGTTTAAAAAAAAAAAATTGGCATGTGCAGTGGCTCACGCCTATATTCCTAGCACTTTGAGAGGCTGAGGCAGGCAGATCACCTGAGGTCAGGAGTTCAAGACCAGTCTAACACGGTGAAACCCCATCTCTACTAAAATACAAAAATTAGCTGGGCATGATGGCAGGTGCCTGTAATCCCAGCTACTCAGGAGGCTGAGACGGGAGAATCGCTTGAACCCAGGAGATGGTGGTTGCAGTGAGCTGAGATCATGCCACTGCACTCCAGCCTAGGTGGCTGAGCAAGACTCGGTCTGAAAGAAAAAAAAAATGGGCAAGACAACTATATGGTTAAGAATTTAAGAATTTCCAGTATGACCACACCCAATAACTGTATTAGATTGTTAATGGATTATTGTGTTATAGGTGAAATAGTTAACTGTAAAGTAACCTGACTCAGTATAGTTACTGGTACAACAGTGAGATGAATAAGACAGGATTTTCAGAAGTTAGCCTGAATTTCACTATACTTTTAAATTTAACCTCCATTAACTAAGCATCTTTTCTTTGTAGTAGGATCTACCTTCTGCTTCCCTGGAAAGGATGAATTTACATCATTTGACAAGACCTATTTTCAAGTTATTTGTTGTTTATTTGCTTGTTTTTGTAGCCTAAAATAAAAATTTCAAATACAATTTTAGTTCTTACAAGATAATGTCTTAATTTTGTACCAATTCAGGTAGAAGCAGAGGCCTAGCTTGAATTAAGGGTTATACTCAGTTTTTACCACATTAGTGAAAAGGGTACCAGCTTTGGAAAGAGATACTATACTAATAAGCAAGTGTAAAAAAAAGAAGAAGAAGAAGAAAATTTTAAGTGATATGATGCTTAAAAAAAAAAAAAAAAGTTAAAGTTCATTTTCTTTGGGGTAGAGCTAGAGAGAAGGCCCCAAGCTTCTGTGGTTTCTTCTAATTCTTATTGCTTAAAGTATGAGTATGTCAATTACCCATGCTTCTGTTTGCTATGTATTAAAATGTGTAGTACTGTTTATTTAACTACCTCATGGATGTGTTAAGGCATATTGAGTTAAATCTCATAAAATGTTTCTTGATCTCGTTAAAAGCTCAAAATTTTGGGCCTATTTGTAATGCCAGTGTGACACTCAGCATGTTGTTCACACCACACTTTGATAACTAAACTAGAAAACAGTTCAGTTATCAATTAAATTATCAGTTAGTGATCTTTGTGTGGCATATAAATATATATAAATATATACAAATATATATATAAATATAAATATATATATATAAATATATATATATATATATAAAATTTTTTTTTTTGGAGACAGTGTGTCTCTCTGTTGACCAGGCTGGAGTGCAGTGGTGCGATCTCAGCTCACTGCAACCTCCAACTCCCAGGTTCAAGCAATTCTCCTGCCTCAGACTACTGAGTAGCTTGGATTACAGGTATGCACCACCACACCCGGCTAATTTTTGTATTTTTAGTAGAGACGGGGTTTCATCATGTTGGCCAGGATGGTCTCGATCTCTCAACCTCTTAATCCACCTGCCTCAGCCTCCCAAAGTGCTGGGATTACAGGCGTGAGCCACCGCGCCCGGCCAGTGTGGCTCCTATTTTTATAGAAGTGGATGGATGCACTATTTCACAAGGTGAAAGAATTTTTTTCTGTATGACTGCGTTGTAGTACTACAGGGAGAGCACTATAGTATTGTAGTCATGAGAGTAAAGTGGAAATAAGACTATTTTTGACAAAAGATGCCATTAAATTTCAGACTGTAGAGCCACATTTACAATACCTCAGGCTAATTACTGTTGATTTTGAGGCAACTTTCTTTTGACGATGGTGAGGGTGGACTATTGGATTGTCATTACAGGAAGGTCTAGATTTCCTGCTTTTAACAAAATTACATTGAATTCATTTTTAGAGGTGATGAAAACTTCCTTTTTGAGAAGTTAGTGTTAAGGTCTTGGAAGTGAACACATTGTTTGTAGTGCTATCCATTCCTCTCCTGAGATTTTAACTTACTACTGGAAATCCTTAACCAATTATAACAGCTTTGTTCTCTTTATTTTCAAAATGATTTCCTTTGCTTTGATTAGACACTGGTTTTTTTTGTTTGTTTGTTTGTTTTTGGTAACCGTAGTTCATCTAAATGCAGCTTTTTCTGAACTTTAAAGACAGAATCACTTTTTTTTTTCTGAGACAGAGTCTTGCTTTGTTGCCCAGGCCAGAGTGCAGTGGCACCATCTCGGATCACTGCAACCTCCACCTCACAGGTTCAAGAGATTCTCCTGCCTCAATCTCCCAAGTAGCTGGGATTACAGCTGCCTGCGACCACGCCCGGCTAGTTTTTGTATTTTTAGTAGAGATGGAGTTTCATCATGTTAGCCACGCTGGTTTCGAACTCCTGACGTCAGGTGATTCGCCCGCCTTAGCCTCCCAAAGTGCTGGGATTACAGGCATGAGCCACTGTGCCTGGCCAGAATCCCATTTTTAACTAACTGAGATAGCAAAATCATCTTTTTCATTCTTTTAGGAAATAGCTGTTGCCAAAGTGAAGGTGTAGATAATACCTAGTCTTGTTACATAATGGGGATGTGGTTTGCCGAAGAATTTTCTTTATAAAATTGAAGTTTCAAGGGATGTCAGTGTTTATGCCATTTTTCCAGTTCCAAAATTATTCCATTCCATTCTAGAAATCTGAAGTATGTAACTTGAAATCCTTAATAAAATTTGGATTTAATTTTAAAAAAAGAGAGAGAGAGAAAGGGAGTCTCAATATGTCGCCCAGGCTGGCCTTGAACTCCTGAACTCAAGGGATTCTCCTACCTCAGCCTCCTGAGCAACTGGGGCTGCGGGTGCACACCACCATGTAATTTTGTTTTTATGTTTTATTTTTACTTATCTGCATTTTCTAATTTTTTATGAGCAATTATAATGTGTGTACTAAAGAAACAAACACTTTAAAAGCTAAATTAAGAAATATTTTTTCTTATTAAAATAGTTTTACAAATACATGAAAATTTTACTTTGCTTTACATCATTTACAAAACATATTTTCACACAACCAGACATCATCCTATTATCTCTACAAAATTATATTTTTGTTTTATAGATAACAAATCTCAGATAATCTGAGCTGAAGTCATCTTCACAAAAGGAAAAGTGACCTAGCACTCTAGGTAACCAAATCTACAGAAACATTTCTTACTTACAGCTCTGAAGTTTCAATATATTTTGCAGTTCCTTCAATCGTGTTACAATATTCTGTGGCAAATTTGGTAATAAGCTGGAGTAAAGTAGCACTTTTATCATCCACGGGTTCACCGTAGCTATTTAGAAGAGACTGATACTGAGCAGCTAGAACATTTATTCTTGTTTTCAACTCTGGTAAGCAATCTCTGATGTGATGCATCAGTAACCTAAAAAAGGTTTTTAGAAAGGAAGGATTTAAAAGTAAAATAAGTCAAATTTTTAAAATGGGGAAAACCTATCAAATAATTTGTCCTGGCAAATGTGATACTGTGAAATACATATTTGGTCTTTGTCTTCATTTCCTGGCAGTCAGCTCCTAAAATCCTTGGACTCTCCAAAAGCATAAGAGTGTTTAGAGTGTCTTTGCATGTTAATGAGATGACTGGTGGCTAGATAGCTTCAGGATGGGAGCTGGTCACCAGAACAGCCTCAGAAGAAGGGAGAGAGGCCAAAGGTTGAGCTGATCACCAGTGGCCAATGGAGTTTCCATAAAAACTCAAAAGGACGCAGTTCACGGAGTCTTCAGAGAGTAGAACACATGAAGGTTCCCAGAGTGTGGTGTGCCCAGAGAGGGCACGGAAGCTCCACATTCCTTCCCACATGCCCAGCCCTGTGCATCTCTTCATCTGGCTATTTACCTATATCCTTTCTAATATGCTTTATAGTAAATGGGTATATGTTAAGTAGTGTTTCCCTGACCTCTGTGAGCCACTCTAACAAATTAATCAAACATGAAACGGGAGTCATGGGTACCCTGACTTATAGTCCATCAGTCAGAAACACAGGCTACAATGTGTGCTTACAACTAGCATCTGACTTGGGGGCAGTCTTGTGGGACTGAACCCTCAAACTGTGGGAGCTGACGCTATCGCCAGGTAAATAGTGTTAGCATTGAATTAAAGGACATTCAGCTACAATCCCCTGGAGAATTCCTTGCTTGATGTATGGGGAAAACTCCCCATGTATCTGCTCTCAGAAGCATTATGTGCCATACTGATTAACTGTGTGTAAATAGGAAAAAAACAATTTGTATTCGTTTTTCCTAAATCATAAAAGGAAAAAAAATGCAAATTATTTTCATATTACTGCAGTTACCACAGAGAAAGCAAGCCACTCAATCAATTCTTCCTATATAATTTTGGTTTCATTGACTTGTCATTTACAATTAGTAACCAGCAAAGTAAAAATCAACCTTATTAAGATCCAAATCTATCAGTCTTTAAGGAATAAAAGTAAGAGAAAATGGCTTCCACTTCAGTCATTTATAAATAATCTAGAAACATCTTCTAGTCCCCCACCATCAATGAGTATTCAGAATCCAACGTATACAACTTAAGTTATTTCTACAGTGAATAGGAATAAAAGACATTCTATTTCTTTGTTTTTCCATCTCCCTTCCCTGGTAAATAAAAGACATTCTAAGTTAAGAATAGATAATGTGAAAATTACAAATTTTAATGCAGTTGCTGAAATGCAAAGTGCAAATGAAGTCATCTCTAGTTGTATCCACAAAACTAAATTAACTGTCAAAATTTTCATAATTAAAACATCTTAAAATCACTTGAACATTCATTCTAGACTACATGATGATGTAATGTCAACCACCCCAATAAAAATAGAGACATCTACTCTTCAGGAACCTACTATATAAGAAACCATAAGTGAAGCTGTTAGGAACAGTATGAAAATGTAAGGAACTGAAAATGAACCCTCTCAGACACCTATTGGTAAAAACAAACATATCTCATTTCCAAAAGGTAAAAAAAATTACCTGTTTAGAGTCCTAGCAAGATACTTTGTTCCATTTCTATTGGCCAGAGATGGATATTTCTTTTGAAGAAAAGCATACTCATCACGGATTGAATCAGTTACACTCTTCTTGTTGTTAATATCTAGCTGGCTCCTGAGGTTGAAAAAATTACAAAACTATTCAGCTTAATGGTTGTCCTCTTCCTACCTCAGATGATGACAGCACCAGCCATTATTCTCTAATACCTGACAGGGACTGTTTTATTTAATTCTCACAATAATTTTATGTGACAGGTATTACTACCCCATTGTAGAGCAAGGAACTGAGGCTCACAGAGACTAACTTACCCAAGGTCACACACTAACTGGAATAGCCAAGACTTGAACTAAGTGAATTATAAGTAACTAGTGCCTAAATAGAGTAGGCCTCATTATTACCATTAACTATAGACAAAAACAATAAGTAACAGGTATAAACAGGTATAAAAATATAAGAGTATCTTAGTCAACTGTATATTTTATCCATGCCAGGGAACTAATTTCGCCCAAAAATAATTAAGTTAATTTGAAGAACAATCATCTACAAATAATGAACAGTGTTGCTTGCGCCACCTCCTTGCCTGAAAAAAGAGACAGTTGGAATTGAGAGTGGGGATGGGAGAATGACAGGAGGGATGGGATGGAAGGACATTAAAATAGAAGCAGACAACTGGAATGGATCTTATATATCAGGTAGTAAAAACATTTTCATTTTCTAAAGGCTTGAGACCCAAAGACATTAGGTGTCATTTAAACCTACATTGTATCTAGTTTATGGAAGAACTGGGACTAGAACTCAGATTTCATGATAATTTCAGGGTTTCCTAGCATATGAAGGCTTTGGACTAAAAGAGAGATTCATCCGAGTCCAGCTCTTTCACTACCCATGTGACTTTTGGTTAAATGTATAACCTGAGGTTTCTGATTATAAAATAGACATCAACACCTACCTCAGGGGATGCTGTGAGGATTCCAAGAGATACCATTTGCAAATTGCTCACAGTAGAGTGTCTAAAACATAATTAGACACTCAATAATAGTTTCCTTTTTCCAATTTTTAATACCAACTATTTATAATTAGGATACCTTTAATAAAATTTCTCCAAGTCACATCCTGGCAATTACACAAAATCACTAATGCTAGGGATTAAACCAATCTATTAAAATCCTGCCACCTTAAACTCTTTCTCGACTGTGTATACATTAGGTAATTTTTCCCTTACCCAGCACCTCCTCATACATTGCTTAACATGATAGGCAAGAATTCTTAAAGCCTGGCTATTACAACATTTCTTCCATTTTGTGGTATTGCTTACTTTAGAAACATTTTCCATTAAAAATTTCTACGGGGGCAGGCATAGTGGCTCATGCCTGTAATCCTAGCACCTGGGAAACCAAGGTTGGAGGACTGCTTGAGCCCAAGAAGTCGAGACAAGCCTGGGCAACATGGCAAGACCTTGTCACTACAAAAAAAATTAAAAATTAGCCAGGTGTGGTGGTACACACCTGTAGTCTCAGCTACTTGAAAGGCTGAAGTGGAAGGATCACTTGAGCCCAGAGGTCGAGGCTACAATAAGCCACAATCACGCCACTGCATTCCAGCCTAGGCAACAGAGACGCCCTGTTTCCCAAAAAAAAAAAAAATTTCTATCTCTTTTCTCCCTTTAGGGCAATTGATTCTTTAGCAATACCAAGATCATAGTAAAAGGGAGAAAAAATACAGGACAGTATCACATTTCAAACAGATTTTAGAAATTCAGACTTGCTCTGAAGTGAGAATGCTACCAATTCTTATCCCATTCTAACTGCTAACCTGTTAACTACTCCAATTATTCCAAGTTTGACTGGAATAACCCTTCCCATCAATACATCCATGGCATCGGTACCCGCATCCATGAGATCAAGTTTAGTGATTACAGCTAGGGTTCTGCGACCTGGTAAATGCAAAAAGAGAAAAGGGCAAAGAAAAGAAAGAAAGAAAGAAAATGATCCATTAAATAAAACTATTAAGCATTAATAAAGGAAAACCCTCATCTATAATCGCACTTAGTATTACCTCTGTCATCATTTTGGTAATGCCTTTCTTACCAGTACTTTTTAAAAAATAATTTTAAACATTGTGTACAATTTTTAAAAACATTTTTGCCAGGTGTGGTGGCTCACGCCTGTAATTCCAGCAGTTTGGGAGGCCAAAGCGGGCGGATCACCTGAGGTCAGGAGTTCGAGACCAGCCTGACTAACATGGTAAAACCCCATCTCTACTAAAAATACAAAAATTAGCCAGGCGTAGTGGTAGACGCCTATAATCCCAGCTGCTCGGGAGGCTGAGGCAGGAGAATTGCTTAAACCTGGGAGGCGAAGGTTGCAGTGAGCTGAGAGCATGCCATTGCACTCCAGCCTGGATGATAGAGCAAGACTCCGTCTCACAAAAATATAGATATAGATATAGATATGGATATAGATATATAGATATATAGATATAGATAGTATATATAAAAAAATAGTTTTTTCACATGCAATTTTTTGTTGACTCTTAGGGCTATTTTGTAAGCATTTAAAAAATCTATATAAAATTTACATCCAGGTGATATGGCCCATGCCTATAATCCCAACACTTTGGAAGGCCAAGGCAGACAGATTGCTTGAGCCCAGGAGTTCAAGACCAGCCTGGGCAAAGTGGTGAAACTCTGTCTCTACAACAAATAGAAAACTTAGCAGGGTATGGTAGTCCTAGCTACAGGTGAGGCTGAGGTGGGAGAACTACCTGAGCCCAAGAAGTCAAGGCTGCAGTGAGCCGTGATTGCACCACTGCACTCCAGCCTGGGCAATGGAATAAGACCTTGTCTCAAAAAACAAAAATTAAAATAAAAATATTGACTCCTTTTTGGTGTACAGTTCTAAGAGTTTTGACAAATGCCAAGAGATATTTCACAACCAACTCAAGACACTGCCGCCCCCCACCAAATTTTCTTATGCTAACCAATCAAACCAATTTTCCATCCCTAGTTTTGCCTTTTCTAGAATGTTATATAAACGAAATCAGATAGTACATAACCTTTTGAGTCTGGCTTCTTTCATTTAGCATAATGCAGTTGAGATTCATCCATGTTCTTGTATATTAATAGTCCGTTCTTTTTTATTGCGGAGTAGTGTCCCATTGTATGGAATGTACTATACTTTAGTTTCACTCCTCATCTGAGAAATATGTGAGATGTTTCCAGTTTTTGGAAATTATGAATAAAGATGCTGTAGACATTTGTATATAGTTTTTATATGAACACTGGTTCTCATTTAACATGGTTAAACACCTAGGAATGGGACTGCTAATTTAACTTTACAAGAAACTGCCAGACTTGTTTCCCAAAATGACTATACCACTCCCACCAGCAATGTATGAGTTCAATTGCTCTGCATAGTGTACAATTTTTAGTCATAAGCATTTTTCTTTTTTTTTTTTTTTGTGCAGTGGTACAATCTCGGCTCACTGTAACCTTCGCCTCCTGAGTTCAAATGATTCTCATGTCTCAGCCTCCCCAGTAGCTGGGATTACAGGCATGCACCACCATGCCCGGCTAATTTTTGTATTTTTAATAGAGATGGGTTTTCACCATCTTGGCCAGGTTGCTCTGGAAATTCTGGCCTCAAGCGATCCGCTCACCTCAGCCTCCCAAAGTGCTGGAATTACAAGTGTAAGCCACCACACCAGGCATTTTTCTGTATTGTTCCAAATCAACAAAATCATCCTTTTTAATTATTTCATATTTTACTGTTAAAATTTACTTAATCCTTCCAACTGTTGGTCGTATTAAGTTGTTTCAAAATTTTAATACTATAAATAATACTAGGCCAATTATTTCCTTATGATGTATTACTAGATTAAGATTAGTAATCAAGCCAGGTGCAGTGGCTCACTCCTGTAATCCTAACACTTTGGGAGACTGAGGCGGGCAGATCGCTTGAGCCCAGGAGTGCGAGGCTGCAGTGAGGCATGATTGTGCCACTGCACTCCAGGCCTGGGCAACAGAGTAAGACCTTACATCCAATACAAAAAAAAGATTAGATTAAAAATATTACAATATTTATGGCTCGAGGGTCAGTTTAAAATAGAGTTAATACATATAAAATGCTTAACAGGTTTTTTTTGTTTGTTTTTTTACGAAGGTCTGGCTCTGAGCCCAGGCAAGAGTGCAATGGCATGATCTTGGCTCAGTGCAACCTCTGCCTTCCAGGCTCAAGCCATCCTCCCACCTCAGCATCCCAAGTAGCTAGGACCACAGGCCAGTGCCACCATACCCAGCTAAATTTTTTTTTGTATTTTTTATAGAGATGGGGTCTCATTTTGCTGCCCAAGCTGGTGTCAAACTCCTGAGCTCAAGTGATCCACCAGCCTTGCCTCCCAAAGTGCTGGTATTACGGGCATGAGCCACTGAGCCCAGCCTACTTTAAATAATAAAAATAAATGTAAATAAACTCTTTGATAAAGTTTATCTTTTACTTTAACTGAAGTGAACATTATTTACTCAAATGGTAAAAAAAATTTTCTTAAAAACTTGAAATATAAAATTTTGGGGCCAGGCGCAGTGGCTCACACCTGTAATCCCAGCACTTTGGGAGAACGAGGCGGGCAGATCACAAGGTCAGGAGATCGAGACCATCCTGGCTAACATGGTGAAACCCTGTCTCTACTAAAAATACAAAAAATTAGCCGGGCGTGGTGGCAGGCACCTGTAGTCCCAGCTACTCGGGAGGCTGAGGTAGGAGAATGGCGTGAACCCGGGAGGCAGAGCTTGCAGAGAGCCAAGATCACGCCACTGCACTCCAGCCTGGGTGATAGAGCAAGACTCTGTATCAAAAAAAAAAAAAAAGTGTTAAAGTGACCCTGCTTATGGGATTTTTTATTGGCAGTCTTAGCACTATTTCATATCAAATTTTTATTTGAAATTATTCTTCAAAGCAGGGTAAGAAAAACACGACACAACCTTCAGACCCTCTAAATAGTAAGGTGAAAAAAATGGTTTCTATATGAGGCCATGCACACATTTGTTAGCAACAATAGTAACCACTCTCTTACAAGCCAGCATTTTATACATGCTACGAGATGTGCACTACATCATTAGTCAAGCATCAGTGACCCACAGTGTGAACTAATCCTTGGGGTTAAAATGCTTCATGAAAGGATTTTACCTTCATTTCTAAAAATCCCCTTTGCCTTGAGCATGTCTAAATGTTCTCTACCTCTGCAGAATGTAGATACCATAATTCTCTACTGTACCATAATCTACAATGATTATCTACTGTGTTATTTTTTTTAAAGAGTCTATGTTGCCCAGGCTGACTTTGAACTCCTGACCTCAAACAATGCTCCCATCTCAGCCTTCTGAGTAGCTGGGACCACAGGCACATGTGACCACACCTGGCTATGTTATTTACTCTTAAAAGCCAGCCATTCAAATACCCAAGTTGCAAAACAAGAAATCCTTTTTGCAAAGCCACTGTATTATTTTAAAATTATTAGGTAACCATTACAAATAAAGATGTGAAATATTTTTGCCTAGTCTGTATAGCAATTTAAAACCTTATTTTCCATCAGAATTTCTATTTTTATAAACAAAAATAGGAAAGCATTATCTTTTAAATTTGTATTAACAACTAGAGATACTGTTTTTAAAGAGAAAAATTCCTTTCTCAAGGGTAGATTTACCATTGTAAAATAAGCATCTCATTAAATATTAACATCTGTCCTTACCATCTGGATCTACCTCTCTTGAAATTTTAAGTGCCTCTGATGTTGCCATATCTGTATTAGCAGCAGTGACAGCGAGGATAATGGAATTTGGGTTACTGATGAACCGAAGAATGAGCTCTCTGATTTGAAGCTCAATATCCTTAGGTTGATCACCTACAGGCACCTAAACCAAACAGAGATGAGCAAGGAACTAATAGTTAAAAATCAACTCCGCTTTTTTACCCACATTTAATCCACAGAATATAGGTATAGCCATTTACAAATAGTTAAAATAAAAATAAAGACATTAATAATATACTACAGTGGTATTTATGATTCTGGTAATGTGTCGAGTCTCAAACTGTAACTCTTGCAAATATCAAAAGTTAATTTAATACAATCCCCTGTTAAGAAATGGTCAGTGTGGACTGGCTAGATACAAATTCATTCATTCATTCATTCAATTATCAAGTGTTTACTGGCAGCCTACTCTATTTCAGGCTCTTTTCTGAACGTGATTTCAGGTCATGTCAGATTATGTTACAGTAGCGAATTTTAAAAAGACCAAACTTCCTGTCTTCATAGAACTTATGTTTTAGTAATAACAGACATATAATAAACAAAAACATATATATAGTATCCAGATGGTGGTAAGGGCTATGGAAAAATAAGGCAGAACAGCAGGCTAGGGAATGATTAGAGAAGATTATTATATATTTTTTTTTGAGACAGGGTATCACTCTATCACCTAGGCTGGAGTGCAATGGTGCGATCATAGCTCACTGTATCTTTGAACTCCTGGGCTCAAATGATCCTCCTGCCCCAGCCTCCCAAAGTGCTAGAACTACAAGCATAAGCCACTGCACCTGGCCATTAGGATTATGATTTTAATGTTTTAAATTGGTTTATGTTTTTAAATACAGTAATCAGGGAAACTTCACTGAGACAACTGACACTTAAGAGAATGAGCAGAAATTAAGCCAATAAGGGAGAGGTACATACAGATATATGGGGGAAAAACAGTCCAAAGAGAGTGAACAGTGAGGGCAGGAGGCTGAAGCAAGAGGAGTTAGGAGAAGAATAGGGACGTACCAAGTGATACTTCAGATCTCTGTAAAAACTTGAGCTTTTACTCTGAGTGAAATGGGAGAAGTTTTAAGTCAAGGAATGACAAGCAACTGGAGAGGTTTTGAGCCAAGGGATGACACAATCGAATCTTCACTTTAATAGTATCACTGTCTACTAAGATGAGATCATGAGGAAGACCTATTATTTATTATTGTGCAGTAATCTAGGTGGCATGATAGTGGCTAGATTAGGATAGTAGCTATGAATTTATAAAACATGATTGAGTATTGGATATACTATAAAGGTAGGAAGAGCCAAGAGGATTTGCTGGCAGGAAGTGGGATGTGGGATAAATTTGTGTCAAGGATGACTACAAACTCTGACTAAGCAATTGGCAGAATGGAGTTGCCATTTATTTATTATTTATTTAGAGACAGGGTCTCACTCTGTTGGCCAGATAGAGTGCAGTGATGCAATCATAGCTCACTGTAGCCTCAAATTCCTGGGCTCAAGCAATCCTCTTGGCTCAGCTGGGACTACATGCATGCACCACCCTGCCCGACTAATTTTTGTACTTTTTGTAGAGACATGGTCTCCCTATGTTGCCCAGGCTGGTCTCGAACTCCTGGGCTCAAAGAATTCCTCCCACCTTGATCTCCCAAAGTGCTGGGATTACAGGATAAGCCACCACACCAAACAGAGATGGGCAAGGAACTAATAATTAAAAATCAACTCAGCTTTTTAATGAGTTGCCAATAAATGGCATGAGTTGCCATTTATTGCAATGAGGGAAGACTACAGAAGGACCAAATCTAGTTGAGGAACAGGTCAGGAATTTGGTATTAGAGTTTGAAATGTCTATTAGACATTTAAGTATATATGTTGAATAGCAACTAGATACACAAGTCTGGAGATATTTGAATACCATCAATATACAGAGCCTTATGTAGTTAAAGCCATAAAATCTGATGAAATCATCAAGGGGAAACTGTACCTAGAGAAAACAAGAGGTCCACAAACTGAGCTCTGGGGCACTTACTGTTTAGACATTGGGGAGATGAGAAGAAACAGCAAAAGAGACTGAAAAGGAGTGGCCAGTGAGACTGGAGATAAACCTGTAGAGTGTGGTATCCTGGAAGCCAAGTAAAGAAAGTGTTTCAAGGAGAAAGGAGGGCTCAACGTTATCAAATGCTGCTAACAGATCAAAGTGATTGCAAAAAGAAGCTGATTATTCTCATATGGGATGTCAAGGAAGTGAAAACAACCTGGCCAAATCTACAACTATTCCTTCCTTACCTTGGTCATTCCTGGCAAATCCACAAGTGTCAAATTGACAACGTTGGGTGAAAAAATCTTAAGATGAATTGGTTCAGGGCTTACTCCCTAGAAATAAATTTCAAAATATTATATAAAAATCACATTAAAATTTCAATGAACTATGAAGTAATAAACTTCAAGTACATAGACATTAATGCTTTTAAAAATGAATTAAGTAATGATCCCAAAAACTTTTTTAAACAATCAAAACCTGATGAAACACATGGGAAATTAGGTAGCCAGCCATATTAACAGGTTATAAGCCTACCTCCACCCCTGTATCATATTATATACACATGTATTATATACCATGTATTATTTTACATTCTTTTCTCTTGATTATAAACATACACCTTTCCCCTTTTTTTTGAGACAAGTTCTCACTCTGTTACCCAGGCTGGAGTGCAGTGGTGTAATCATGGCACACTGCAGCCTCAAAATCCTGGGCTCAAGCAATCCTCTTGCCTTAGCCTCCTGAGTAGCTGGGACTATAAGGTGTGTACCACCATGCCCAGGTAATTTTTTAAAAATTTTTTGTAGAGACAGGGCATTACAATGTTGCCCAGGCTGGCATATACCATTCCTTAAACATGTTTAATAGATTTAGCACTGAATAAAAGAATAACGTATTCCTCACTATCCAAATGTATGAGGCTCCAAGTTCAGAAGGTAAGGCATAGATAACAAGTTGTCCAAATCAGCTTGGTTCCTGATCTTTGAATATCAAGTGGCAAGAATGTGTATGGTAAGAGATTCCTCAAGAAGTTTATCTAAATCTTTAATGTCTAGTAAGAATTTGAATAGTGAGAGATACATGTATTTTCTCTCCTGTAGACTAAGATTACTGTGTAGGCTCCCTCCCTCCTCTTCACCACTGGCCCTCTGCAAGTTTTAGGATTAAATCAACTACATGTAAAAAGACACTTATGAGATGTTTATACCCCATCTTTGTACATGCCCTTCTTTACCCTTTAATATATCCTCTCATCAACTGTTTATCCACCTTACGTTTTCCCTCATTAACCCACTGAAAATTCTAATTTGCCAGCAAGTTTTTAATATCCTTTACTCCATGTTCCCTATACAATTATATTTGCTATTTTAGATTACTTTGTGCTACTTTTTCATTTTAAATACTGCAGTGTTCCAAAGCCAACAGATGTCAATACCTGGCATACCTATTTAGGTTGTATATTTCTCAGGACCTTTATTGCCATGGCATTCCCCTATCATGTCCAATACAAAGCTTTGCCCAATGCCTTTACAACTCCAATCTCATAGACATTTTAAATCCTTCAGGGCTTTATGTTAGGCATATGCAGTCATTTACATATTTTGACATAAAAATTATATAAGATCAAAGTATCATTTACTTCATTACATACGTGATTTGGGAAAGAAGAGATGTTTCATAGATATGGGGTTGGGGGACTTTTCATCTTTTAGACACTGCGGATGAAAAGCTGCTAGGTAAGTAAATTATATCCTCAACATAAATTAAACATCTTGTAGGTATACAGACTCAATCTTTAATGACATTCAGTTTAGTTAACTAAAAACATTTTTGAATCACCACAACACTCTAAATTCTGGTACTGTGTAAAATTACCACCAATTGCTGAGTTCAGTAAGTAAATGGGGACTGTAGGAGAGATAATTCAGACTGATGTTATGATCAGTAACATTCCAAAAGCCAAAAATATCCCTGATATAATTAGAGGAATGACGACAAGCTAATCTAGTTTCTGGCCACTTTTCCAACCCCTTCTACACAACATGGTTTCTAGAAATTCAGGGAAGTATGGCAGCAGTAGCAGTAACTCAAAGGTAACCAGCCTAGAGTTCAATAATGGACAAACGTCAGTCAGTCACTGTATAACAGCAACAAATACCTTGAACAGTCATAAAGAGTTAACATGACTCTAAAAATGCCTTTCTGTCAGGAAATAATCTTTTAGCACAGTAACTGGCAGATACAAGGGTTCAATATTTGTTGAATATTAGTACTAAGCTAGGGCCTAAATGTGCCTCTGGATAATGTAAGAATGGAGCTAAGAATAAAAAGGAAGGGAAATAAAAATTTAAAGAGATATATGTAAAAATGTAAAGAGAAAAATAAGAGGAATAAAGAAGAGAGAAGACAGAAGACAGCAGGATTCAGGCAAGGGAGTGACAGTACGTAGTGTCAAGATTAACAGTATCTTAGATACCTAACTTACTTTACATTGTCACAATCTCAGAAAATAAGAAAATAACCAGTTGCTAATGTATTACTTTTCATTTTCACTAAAAAAAAAAAAAAAAAAAAAAAAAACCCAATGTGCCTCTCTTTGCTTTCATAAGCAAATCTAGCCATACACAGGCAAGAAAAAGAACTCCTCAAAAGATATAAATAAGTGATACAATGCTTCCTGAGTTGGAGTACAATCAATCCTTCAGAAAAAGATAACTTATTGTAGCAATATTAAGTAGAATTATATAATAATGTGGTATGTACATGACAGGAACAAGAATAAACATCTAAATAAAATACCTGATTTATATGAAAGCTTTAAGAAAGAAAAGGGATTTTAAGCAAAGTTCTACATATTTGTGAAAATACTCCATTTGTTTCAAAGTCCATTATGAATTTTCAATGTCCATCGCTTCTCGGCCTTTTGGCTAAGATCAAGAGTATGAATTTACAATGCCCTTCACATATTATCTACAGAATACCTCAATTATATATTTACTGATGCTTATGCCTTCTAGCTCTAAAAAGATGCCTACCTTATTATTTCCTGAAATTCTTTCTGTTTCATTTTCAATTTCTTGTCGAATTTCATCAAAATCCGTGTAAAGCTAAAAGTTTTCGAAATAAAAAAGCATAATATTCAAAATAAGATCAAAAGTTCTTAAGTTGGAGGGGAAGTCCATATACTTCAAGGATGTCTATGTATTTGCTTCAGAGAATAAATAAATTCAAATGTATACATATCATTTTCTGAGCTAAGGATTCATAGTTTTTTTATGAGTTGTTTTTTGTTTGTTTGGCTTTTTTTTTTTTGAGACAGGGTCTGACTCTGGCATAATCATGGCTCACTACAGCCTCAACCTTACATCCTCAAGCCATCCTCCTGCCTCAGCCTTCCAAGTAGCTAGGACTACAGGTGCATGCCACCATGCGAGGCTAATTTTTTTAATTTTTACAGAGACAGGATCTCCTTATATTGCCCAGGCTGGACTCGAACTCCTGGGCTCAAGTGATCCACCCATTTTAGCCTCCCTAAGTACTGGGATTACTTGCATGAGCCGCTATGCCTGGCCATTATGAACTTTTCAAAGCTTCCTGATCCCACAACAATTAAGAATCACCAAATCACAGAGAAAATCAGCCTCAATTTCAAGTGTTTTCCAATAAACTGTGGTTGGAAACATTACTAAGATTTATTTTATAAGGAATAGTTATAGTTACTTCAAAATAACTTAATTGCCAAAGATTAGAAACTAAATTATCAAGTATTCATACAAAATATTATTTTCAACATTATTTCATTATACGCTTGTGTGATTACCTTATTTTTGGTGTGAAGAAATTTACCCCATTCTTCTGCTTCCACCCCTGGAAAAAGAAAAACTCATTTATTAGAAACTTAGGAAACTACTGTTTATCTTTAGGAATTCAAAAAGGCAACATAATAAAACACTTGTTAACTTGTATTTAATTCTGCCATTAAGTACAAGTTAACAAGTATTTTAAAGTCTGCTAAATTATATTTTTCTAAAATTGTATTTTCTGCTAAATTATATTTTAAAAATTGTATGGTGTATTTCAAAAACATGACCAACTTCAGGCAGAGCTGCTCACATGTCTTCCCACCAGCTGAAATCTAGATTTTGCAAATAAAATTGTTTATTTCTCTTCATTTTTTTTGGTGAAGTTATATGACAGTAAAAGAAATATTCTTTAGTTTTAAACATCTTACATATAAAAGCAGTTTTCTGACAAAAGTAAAGTTAGGGGCTAAGAAGAAAAATTAAGAATCCCACTGAGTAGTGCAAAAAACGTATGTAACAGATTTACACATATGACTCAAGGAAAAATTTTACAATGTGTCAATGAAACAGCTAATTCTTCAGTTCTTTTTAAAAATTTGGTTTCCTGTTGGTTACCTGTAGAGTCACAATTTGCTGTTCCTTTAAAGAGCTCTCTCATTATTATAGAGCTAGCTGCTTTGTAATTTACACACACTTTCAAGGTGATTTTCCCCCAGGGTCAAGAGTTTTCCCTTGGAACTGGAGGCAGGAAAGAAATAAAATGGAAGAAAAGAAAAAACAAGAACCCTGGTATATGCAGCGTAAGGAGTTGCCACCCTCCATTAGTTTCCAGTCATAGGTCTGTTCCTCTTGTACTTGCTGAAAGAGGAAAATAGATTCACTGTTGCACTGTGTGAAGTAGTCTAAAACTTGGAGAGCAAGATACATTCTGTTTTTCCTAGAGAAACTAGAACTGTTTAATTGTGGAAAGATAATCTAACTTTAATCTCCTCCAAACATAGCTGTTTTGCTTTTGTCAAATTTAGAGAAGGTTAAAATATCTTAATAAGTTTATTGAATAATGCATATCAGCCACCTGAAGTCTAAATAAAAATGATTGTAAGATATTCAGATAAATAGAAGAGTGAGTCAATGCTTTGGTGGGATAAAGGTAAATAAAACCGGATCCTTTTTGCAGATAAAATGCTCACCTACTTGTAGCTTAGTACCTTCTTCCAAGAAGTCTCATTGGAGGACTGGAGTAATCTAGGTGAACAGAACTCACAAAATGCAAGTACTACATACCAAAGAGCTGTTTCTACTTTATCTTATTATATTTAAAAAGGCCTGACTTCACAAGCACGTCTTCAAAAATAAAAATAAAATAAATTACATTCACCACCAAAAAAGCTTGCATTTTGATGCAATGCCAAAAAAATAACAAGAACCACTAAAACCTGCAATCAATGTGGATGGGCAAATAAAAATGGAAGAAAAAAAAATGCACACAGCCTGTAATAGTACATAAGCACACATGCAGGCATAAGAGAAAAAAAGGGTCAAAAGCAAATGGATAAAGGAAACCTTTAGAAAGGTGTCTTGAGTTTTTCCATGTAGCAGGGTCTGTAGTTAAAGAGAAACAGCACAGAGTAAGTTTAGTGCTTATCCCTAAAATTTTAAACCTTATTAAAAATTCAAATGTGCAGAAACCTGATCACATTTCAAATGCACATAGCATTCAATCATTCAAAATTTACAACTAGAATTAGAGGGACGTATATAATATTTGTAAGTCACAGAAACAACGCATATTGCTTGCCATAACTTTTTTAGGAAAAAACCTTTCCAATATAATTAGCTATATCTGCCTTGTCTGAAGGTAGTTATCTCAATTGATTGTTCAGTCAGTTACAGATGGAACTCCTTGTTCTACTCTTTCCCCCCCTTCTCACTACTGCACTTGACTAGTCTAAAAAATAAAAATTAAATTTTTAAAATAATAAAAAAGTTATGTCACCACTGTTTCTAACTCTGACACAAATGAAGCACAATCAATCCACTATTCAAAAATTTGGGACAGGTGTGGGGCTCACACCTGTAATCCCAGCACTTTGAGATGCCAAGGCAGACTGATCACCTGAGATCAGAAGCTCGAGACCAGCCTGGCCAACATGGCAAAACACCGTCTTTACTAAAAATACAAAAATTAGCTGGGCCTAGTGACACACACCTGTAATCCCAGCTACTCGGGAGGCTGAGGCAGGAGAATTGCTTGAACCCAGGACGTTTCAGCTAGCCAAGATCACTGCGCCACTGCACACCAGCCTGGGCAACATAGCAAGACTCTGCCTCAAAAAAAAAACTTTGCCTGAGATATCTGATAACCTACTATGGGAAAAGATAAACTGCCTGATTTTTAAAAATCTACAAAATATACTACATACATCTTTCAAAACCTTAAAAGTTAGTTAAGTATATGTAAGTATTTGCCCCATTGCCTAAGACTGGACTGTATAAGGGTATTTTACTTGAAACATATATTGGATTTAATAGAACACTGCAGAAAGTTAACTCTTCACCTTTGTGGACTCAACCCAAAGGGAGACTACTACATGTATCATAGCACCTTATGCAGAAAAATTAATCCTATCTCTTTCCTTTAATTCTGATGTATAATTTTACTGCTTTTTTGAGGGGGCAACTGATTGCTTTTACAAATAGGTTACTTAAAGAAATAGGGGTAATAATTCAAATTATACCAAGATCTTAAGCATTATTCTGTGAAACAGGTATGTCTGCTTTTTTTTTTTTCTGAGACGGAGTCTTGCTCTGTTTCCCAGGCTGGAGTGCAATGGCACGATCTCAGCTCACTGCAACTTCCACCTCCTGGGTTCAAGTGATTCTCCTGCCTCAGCCTCCCGATTAGCTAGGATTACAGGCACCCACCACCACGCCCAGCTTATTTTTGTATTTTTAGTAGAGATGACGTTTCACCATGTTGGCCAAGCTGGTCTCAAACTCCTGACCTCAGGTGATCCACCCGCCTCGGCCTCCCAAAGTGCTAGGGTTACAGGCATGAGCCACCACGCCCGGCCTATGTTTGCATTTTTTAAAAAGAAAACAAAAAAGCTTTTGCTTTAGTTCAACAACTTTTCTCTCCAAAATAAATTCTTTTTTTTTTTCACATTTTTTTTTTCCAATTTCTACTGACACTGTTCAGAAGCATCATATATAGCACAATTTTGGCCTTTAATCAGCATGCTACTTTTGGATTTTGTCTCAAAGGAAAGCTGAGGAAAGCCTGATTTATTTCTTACAAAAATATGAAAGATAACTGTGGAGTTCTGTTCAAACTGAACCACCACTCCACTCTAAAACATAGTTTAGTATTGTTTTTAATAAAATTTTAACGGAAAATTCTTTCACATTGGCAGAAGGGGCAAGCTGAGATGACCATAAATGTACATATTGACACCTCAGTTATCCCACAGTTGACAGAACGAAGAATCCTATGCTAAATAAATTTCCTGATAGTTGAATTATACATATTAAACACTAAAATGTTTTACTTTAGCCAGTTTTGATGGAGCTACATCTAAAATGGATTATACTTCTCCATGTCATCTTAGAATGTACTACTCAATCTATTATTGGTAACCTAGGTCTTTGTCATGTATCTAAGCCTTTACTGGCTAAAATCCCTACACAAAATGTTAGTAACTGATTCCTTCTTTTTTTTGGAAAGTTAATGTTTTCCTCCCTTTCTCCTCTCTTATTATCAGGCTGTCAGGTAGTTCACACTCTTCTAGCTAACTATATTGTTTATCTGCTTCATGGTTTCTAATTTTCTCTGGGTTAGGATGATTTATGATATGCTTGAATTGTTTTGTTTTTTTTTGGTTTTTTTTTTTTTGTTTTTTTGAGACGGAGTCTCGCTCTGTCGCCCAGGCTAGAGTGCTGTGGCCGGATCTCAGCTCACTGCAAGCTCCGCCTCCCGGGTTCCCGCCATTCTCCTGCCTCAGCCTCCCAAGTAGCTGGGACTACAGGCGCCCGCCACCTCGCCCGGCTAGTTTTTTGTATTTTTTAGTAGAGACGGGGTTTCACCGTGTTAGCCAGGATGGTCTCGATCTCCTGACCTCGTGATCCGCCCGTCTCGGCCTCCCAAAGTGCTGGGATTACAGGCTTGAGCCACCGCACCCGGCCTTAGAATTGTTTATTCCAAGGATAAAGAAGCTCTGATGAAAAACTAAGGAACTGTCTATCCTAGAATAAAACATGTGAAATCTAGTACTCAAATTTATATAATCTATATTGTGTTTGGGGTAGTTGCCATTTTAGGCAAATGTGTATGCAAAATCAGCACTAAGCTTGGAAAAAAACAATAGGTAGGCAGATGTACTGACCAACCACTAAGAGGAGACATCAACAAAACATAGTGGGCATAGGCCGGGCGTGGTGGCTCACGCCTGTAATCCCAGCACTTTGGGAGGCCGAGACGGGCGGATCACGAAGTCAGGAGATCGAGACCATCCTGGCTAACATGGTGAAACCCCGTCTTTACTAAAAAAAATACAAAAACTAGCCGGGCGAGGTGGCAGGCGCCTGTAGTCCCAGCTATTCCGGAGGCTGAGGCAGGAGAATGGCGTGAACCCGGGAGGCGGAGCTTGTAGTGAGCTGAGATCCGGCCACTGCACTGCAGCCTGGGCAACAGAGTGAGACTCTGTCTCAAAAAAAAAAAAAACATAGTGGACATAAAAACAAAGAGATACCAAGGAGCTGACACTTCTATAGCTGAAATGTACACCCTTTTCTAACAAGCACAATTTTATCTAAGGAAACACTGCCCAAAATTCAAATAGTTTCTGAGAGACAGGATATCACAGGCCCTCTCAAGGTGACAGAAGAAAATGAAAGTTAAAAAAAAAAAAGAGAGACAGACCTAATATATACTTTCTTAAGGTCTTAGTTTCAGGTGTTTGGTAAATTTGATGAAATCAGTTAGTGGGGATGAAATTCTATAAGTGTTATTCTATACATTTGAAGGTGAACGCTAGATTAATCCAAAATGATTAAATTCAAGGTTCAGAACTTCAGTAAGTATTAGAGAAATGCAAAGTGATGAATAACATACCCAGAAGCTACCTAATGTAATTAAAATGCTCCCATATATCCACTGGCAATCTATCTAAAAATATTACTTGCAACATCTACAACTACACTAACTTGCTTCAGTGACTAACATTCTAGAGTCATAGCAGATGCTCATGAAGTTTTCTTTCCCCATAAAAAAAAAATTCAACTCATCACCACCAACAGCTCCTACAGTAAATGAAAAAAATCAGACACAGAAATTAAAATAAGTTCAATTTTGTCAATACTATCGTCCTATCTTAAATCAGAATAAGAAGTAGAATAAAACTGCATTGAAAACAGATCTCTGCAGATAAGTAACAGATATGGTACTCTGCTGCAAAAGTAATTTAATAATTAGAGCTATGTTACGGAGTTCTATAAATAAGAAAATCTGAGCCAAATACTGAACTAAATAGGAAGATTAAATACATTACTGTCATTCAACATTTCAAACCTCACTAATATAATTACCACAGGATACATATTTGATAAGCAACTTAAAATCTGCTGATACACACACAGTTTTCCCTAACATATTTTCAATTTAATCAAAAAAGAACGGTTATGAAGGACAATGCCTATTTTCTTCTTCTTCTTCTTTTTTTTTTTTTTTTTTGAGACTGAGTCTCACTCTGTCGTCTAGGCTGGAGTGCAGTGGTGTAATCTCAGCTCACTGCAACCTCTGCCTCCTGGATTCAAGTGATTCTTCTGCCTCAGCCTCCTGAGTAGCTGGGACTACAGGCGTGTGCCACCAAATCTGGCTAATTTTTGTATTTTTAGCAGAGACAGGGTTTCACCATATTGGCCAGGCTGGTCTTGAACTTCTGACATCGTGATCTGCACTTTGGGAGGCCATGGCAGGCGGATGACTTGAGGTCAGGAGTTCGAGACCAGCCTGGCCAACAAAGTGAAAGCCTGTCTCTACTAAAAATACAAAAAATTGCTGGGCGTGGTGATGGGCACCTGTAATCCCAGCTACTTGGCAGGCTGAGGCAGGAGAACGGCTTGAGCCCAAGAGGTGGAGGCTGCAGTGAGCCAATATCGCACTACTGCACTCCAGCCGGGGCAACAGAGTGAGACTCACATCTCAAAAACAAAACAAAACAAAAACTACTCTTTCTTTACATTAAGAAAGATGCATACTACTTCTCACAGGACTTCTGTTTATGCTACAGCCACTAATTTCTAATTGTCTAATCAATTCATATCTTTTTAAGAACAGATCAAAAATGAAGAGCTGTAAAATAATTCTTATCTCAAATCTGAAATTTACCATTTTCTTCTCCTGTTGTTTTTCGTTTATCTTCTTGTGAAACATGGACGAGCTGCAGAATGAGAGGTCTCCGAGTGACAATTCCAGTACCTCTGGGAAGCAGGTCCCTCCCCACCAGGCTTTCTAGCACTGAGCTCTTTCCACTGCTCTGGAAACAGAATACATACAAGAGCAAAATGAGTTTCTTAACACCTTTTTTTGTTAATTCAGTAAACTATATTAACAAACCAGCATACAGAATTGTTTTAATTAGTGCAGAGACTTTTTTTTTTTTTTTTGAAACGGAGGCTCTTATTGCCCAGGCTGTAGTGCAATGACCATGATCTCAGCTCACCGCAACCTCCGCCTCCCGGGTTCAAGCTATTCTCCTGCCTCAGCCTCCCGAGTAGCTGGGATTAGAGACATGTGCCACCAAACCTGGCTAACTTTTTGTATTTTTAGTAGAGATGGGGTTTCTCCATGTTGGTCAGGCTGGTCTTGAACTCCCAACCTCAGGTGATCCACCTGCCCCAGCCTCCCAAAGTGCTGGGATTACAGGCATGAGCCGCCACACCCGGCCACAGACTTTCTAAATGAAAGATAATTTTATTTCCTATTACATGATCTATTTGTTTTTAAGCCAAAACCAGAAAATAAAAGCCCTGTTTTCCCATAATTTTCCCACCTGTTTTGATACTCGGAGACCAACCAGGTTTCAAAACCTACATAATATTGGTATATATAAAATTATGCCTATAATATGTAGTTATTTTACTGTAAATGGGACAGTAATGCATATCTTTTTCTCTAACCTTCTATTTTTATTAATTATTATCATTACAATGTGTCACTCTATTACCCAGGCTAGATTGCAGTGGTGCAATCACAGCTCATTGCAGCCTTGACCTCCCCAGGATACGGTGATCCTCCCACGTCAGCCTTCCCAGTAGCTGAGACTACAGGCACGCACTACTATACCATTCTAATTTTTGTATTTTGTAAAGGTGGGGCTTTGCCATGTTGCCCAGGCTTGTCTCAAACTCCTGGGTTCAAGCAATCCTCCCACCTCAGTCTCCCAAGTGCTGGGATTACAGGCATGAACCACTGCTCCTGGCCTAACCTGCTTTTATTTTTAATGTAATAATCAGGGATATTGTTCCATATCAATACATTTACTACTTCTGTATTAATTCCCAGCACTTTGGGAGGCTGAGGCAGGCAGATCACCTGAGGTCAGGAGTTCGAGACCAGACTGGTCAACATGGCAAAACCCTGTCTCTACTAAAAATACAAAAATTATCTGGGCATGGTGGCACGTGCCTGTAATCCCAGCTACTCGGGAGGCTGAGGCAGGAGAATAGCTTAAACCCGGGAGGTAGAGGTTGCAGTGAGCCGAGGTCACGCCATCACACTCCAGCCTGGGCACAGAGTGAGACTCCTTCTCAAAAAAAAGTAATAGTTAAAACAATATTCTACTATGTGTAAAACCAAACCCGAACTGATGAGCATTTAGATGGTTTTTGCTGTTATTAACAATGCTGCAATAAATGTGCTTATACATATAACCTTAGTCACTTATCCTATTACCTCACTATATTTAGTTCATTTAAGTTAAATTGCTGTGATTGACGAGCATACAGATTTTAAGCATTCATAGATACTGCCAGACTGCAGAGAAGATGGCATCAAGCTATATTTCCAACAGTTACCACTTTGTTCAATTTGCTACAGCCCCATCAGTATTAAGCATCGTTGCTTTTTTTTTTTTTTTTTTTTGAGATGGAGTCTTCTTCTGTCGCCTAGGCTGCTGGAATGCAGTGGCACGATCTCGGCTCTCTGCAACCTCCACCTCCTGGGTTCAAGCAGTTCTCCTGCCTCAGCCTCCCAAGTAGCTAGGATTACAGTCGTGTGCCACCACGGCCAGCTGTTTTGTATTTTTAGTAGAGACAGGGTTCCACCATGTGGGCCAGGCTGGTTTCAAACTCCTGACCTCAAGTCATCTGCCCGCCTCAGACTCCCAAAGCATTGCTTTTTGAATCTTTGCTACTTTGCTAGATGGATACTGACAGCTCATTTAAATTTGCATTCCTTTATTATTGAGGTCAAGCATCCTTTTGTTTAAGGGCTTTCTATATTTCTCCTTTAGTGATTTGCTTATTCGAATACTAGCATTTTATATATTTCTTATTAGTTTATAATAAAGTTATTTATCCATAATAAGTATTTCATTGTATGTTGTTTTAAATATTTTCCAACTTTTTATTTTGAAATTTTCAATGCCACAAAAAAAGTTGCAAGAATGGTAACAGTGAATACTCATATATCTTAACATAATTCACCACTTAACATTTTTGACACATTTACTTTATGTCTCTCTCTCCTTACATGTACACACAAAGACTTTTTCTCCCTTTGCTGTCCTATTTGAGAGTTAGTTACAGAAATCATGATACTCCACTCTAAACATTGTGGCATGCATCTCCTAAGAACAAGGGCATTCTTCTATAAAACCACAATATAATGATCACATTCAGGATTTTTTTTTTTTTTTTTAAGAGATGGGGGTCTCATTCTGTCATTCAGGCTGGAGTGCAATGGCGTGATCATAGCTCACTGCAGCCTCTAACTTCTGGCCTCAAGAGATCCTCAAGCCACCTCAGCCTCCCGAGTAGCTGGGATTCCAGGAGCCAGCCACCATACCACTTACATTCAGGGAATTTAACATACATACAATACCAATATCCAATTACTAAATAATAACAAATATCAATACTAACAGCTTATGGAATAATCAAATAATATATAAACCTCTATTATACATTTTTAAATATTTCTAAATTTGTCATTTTTCTTAAGTTTGCAATAAACTGTTATTTTTCTATACAGTATATTATGTACTCTATTTTTTTCTTAGTCAAAACTTGTACTTTAAAAATTTATTTTCTACAAATACAAAAATCCTAATTTCATCTGTTATGTCAGACAGGGTCTGCAGGAAGCAGATGGCCCACTCAAATTAGATTAATTTAAAGAGGGTTTATTTACAAAGGACTATTTACAAAGCTGTGGGTGAGGCTTACAGGAAATCACAAGGGATATTGCAGTAACCCAGGCTAGTAACAGGAGAGCAGCTCTCATCACCCCAAAGCCTAAAAGGAAGGACCAGGACTAAGACTGACACAGCCAGCCAGCCCAAGGCTCCTACATACAGAATGTATGAGATGGGGAATCAAGACCAGGACATTTTTCTCCTCTTTCCTCCAATTCCCTGCCAGGGCTCCTCATTTCCACATCCAAATCAGAAGACAGAGGACATAGGGGCTCATTCATGTTGTCCAGAAAGGTCCCCTATGATGGAAAACACAAAAGCTGAATGGATCTGGAGAGTTAAATTGAAGAATATAAGACATATTTGAGAAACTGCAGTTGTGATATCCAGGGTAGCCCCCTCATTAAATAAAACAGGGTGCTTTCCATCATTTCATTCCTGTACTCTGATACTGTACTCTGAAATAATTTTAACAACATATAGACATTTCCTGTTCTTTGTATGTCTGATAAAATGTGTCCATAAAAAAAATTGAATTCTCTGATTTTCGAATTTATAGGCATATCTACTCATAATAACCTCAGAATTTGTTCATTTTTCTTATTTCTAATATTTTACGTTCTATTTTTTATGAGACTTTCCAAATGACTATTAAATTGATTGGCCAAATATTTTGCTGATTTTGCTTTGTAATTGATTTTTTTAAATATTTCTAATTTCTTCTTCCTGGGATTCTTTTTTCCCCCTGGTGAAAGGAGGGTTTATCTGTAGTTTTAAAAAGCTCCTTGAATTTAAACGTTAGCTTTTTTCTCTATTTCGGCTACCGACACTTGCAACCCTCACCCACCCCTAACACAAACATACATTCCTCTAATCAGTCACCTCATCTTCTTTCTTCCACACCAAGAGCTGTGGTTCTCAATTACACAGTTTGTGACAGAATTAGAACAACACAATTACTTGTTTGCTTTTTATTTCATGTTACACAAAGATTCTCAAAATAAGAACACCAACAATACCACCACCACCATTATTACTGAAAGTAGTTTTTTAAATGTTTTGTATATAATCCTTCCATTCTCCTTCCCACCCCTTTACAGACCATATCTTCTTTCAAACCCTCATTTGGTCTTAGTTACGTGTAATACAAATCACCAGTCTTTAACTTGTCTCTAGTCATTCTGATTCTGACACCCATTCTCTAGTAGATTCCCCAGGAAGGGCTAATGGGAACAATATTCTTCAAATTCTAGCATATTGTTTGTGACTTTTATTTTTTATTTTTTTTAGAGAGTCTCACTCTATCACCTAGGCTGGAGTGCAGTGGCATAATTGTGGCTCACTGCAGCCTCCATCTCACTGGTTCAAGCAATTCTCTTGCCTCAGCCTCCCAAGTAGCTGGGATTACAAGTATATGCCACCACACCCGGCTAATTTTTGTATTTTACAAAAGTGTATTATACAAGGTGTATATCTGCCCACCTTGGTCTCCCTACTGTCACAAGAGAAAGGAGACAATGAAATTCCATATTTAAGATAAGAACATGTACACCAGCCTGGGTGTGGTGGCTCACGCCTGTAATCCCAGCATTTTGGGAGGCCAAGGTAGGCAGTCACTTGAGGTAAGGAGTTTGCGACCAGTCTGGTCAACAAGGTGAAACCCCGTCTCTACTAAAAATACAAAAATTAGCCCGTGTGGTGGCGGATGCCTGTAATCCCAACTACTCAGGAGGCTGAAGTAGGATAATCACTTGAACTCAGAGGCGGAGGTTGCAGTGAGCCAAGATCGTGCCACGAACTCCAGCCTGGGAAACAAGAACAAAACTCCATCTCAAAAAAAAAAAAAAAAAGACAGTAATCTGATTCTTTTTTTCCTTTTTCTTTCTTTCTTTCTTTTTTTTTTTTTTAAGACACTGTCTAGCTCTGTTGCCCAGGCTGGAGTGCAGTGGTGCAATCACAGCTCACTGCAGCCTCTAATTCCTGGGCTCAATAGCTCCTCCTCTCAGCCTTCCAAGTAACTTGGACTACAAGCTCACACCACCACACCCAGCGTGTGCATGCGTGTGTGTGCGTGTGTGTGTGTGTGTGTAGACAGGGTCTCACTATATTGTGTGTGTTTG